TTATTGTACCTAGAGGAAGAAACGGCAACCCACTCCAGTGTTCTTGACTGGAAAATTCCATGGACAGAGGCACCTGGTGGGATGTTGTCCATAGAGTCACAAAGAGCCAGATACGACTGAGCAGTCGAGCACATTGTTATAATGATTGTTGTCAAAATAAGAGATAGGCTTGTCTGTTGAGAAACTCACGGTCCAACGCGGGAGGGACGCCTGGAAACATAAGAACACTTTTTTAAGTGGCGTGGGTTAGAGTCAGGGTTGCCTTTCTACGTTGTTTTGATTTTCAAGCAGTCAGTTTTGGAGGTGGATTTGTACTGGTCAAGCTTTGGGGCTTTGAAGATACTGACCTAGAAATTCTTGGAATGCTGGAAATATGAGGAATTAGAATAAAAGTCTTTGTGTCAAGGCTGTGTGGATGATACAGTTGAAAGAAACTCAGCTGAGTGTGCTGTTTACAAGCAGGTGAAACTTGGAATGCTGGAAATGTTTGTGTAATTAGTTCATAGCAAAATGTTCAATGGAGGATATGGGGATGATACAGTTGAAAGAAGTTTATCCGAGTGTCCTATGCTCTTCATTCTTGTGTTTGGCCCTTTGGAGAGCACGTTGAAAAGTGTGATAAATGTTTTCTTCCATAGGCTAATGCTCAATTCTTCCAGATATCACATAAATGTAAATAATAGACTGTGAACAGATTACTGGATGTTTGAACAGGAGCATTGGAAGAAAAAAGAGATTAGGATTAAATAAGAGAGAAATAAAGTAGTTAATGTAGCATCTAACATAGTACCTACCTTGAGACAAAGGAAACATTACAGACGTTGTATATTTTCTCTTATGAGCTGAAAGGCAAGAGTTCTCTTGCCACTTTGAGGTGTTCAGAAAACTTTTAGAGTCTACTTTAGGAGACATAATAAAAGTCTTGATGATCATTTGGGTAGATTTTGTTTATCAGTATAATAATAAACCTTTGCTTCTGTGCTCAATTTTTAAAAAAACTTTCAGAGTCTAAAAGTATGGCTCTTAGTAGCTCTGTTTTCTGAATTTACATTGTAACTCTGGTCTATTTATTTCTCATAGCTTCCCAGAAATGATTAAAGGTTGAGTTACTGCATGTCTTTTGCTATTTCACTCTTAGGTTTATCAGTCCCTGTTGAGCAAGTTCACCCTCCAGGAGCAGCTCAGCCATCTGGCTTTACGCTAATTCCACAGTTCCTTGATGACAGCTTTCCCTAGTGATGGCTATGAGAAATTCCTGAAGTGTGACCTTCATGTTTATATGTGTTGTATAGTATTTTAATTATTTTAAAATGTATAATTATTTTAATTATTTGAAATGACATATCACATTGTCAATATGTACATTTTTTTTAGCTACTCAAGCATTTATCAACCTGGCACTGTTGACATTTGGGCTGGATGACTTTGTCTTAATGGGGGTTGTTTAGGATATTTAGAAGCATTCTCGGCCTCTGCCCATTGCATGGCATAGCACTCCTCCCAAGATGTAATAGCCAAATTGTGAACAGGCATTGCCAGATGTTTGCTATGGGATACATCTGACCTTCGTTCAGAATCACTGAGCTATAACCTCTTGTCTTCAAGTGACTGTGTGCTGCGCTGCGCGGTGCTGTGCTAAGTCGTTTAAGTCGTGTCTGACTCCTTGCAGCCCCGTGGACTGTAGTCTGCCAGGCTCCTCTTCATGTCTGACTCCTTGCAGCCCCGTGGACTGTAGTCTGCCAGGCTCCTCTTCATGTCTGACTCCTTGCAGCCCCGTGGACTGTAGTCTGCCAGGCTCCTCTTCATGTCTGACTCCTTGCAGCCCCGTGGACTGTAGTCTGCCAGGCTCCTCTGTCCATGTGGTTCTCCAGGCAAGCCTCCTGGAGTGGGTTACCATGACCTCCTCCAGGGGATCTTCCCAACCCAGGGATCAAAACCCACATCTCTTACGTCTCCTGCATTGGCGGGCGGGTTCTTTACCACCCGTGTCACCTGGGAGGCCCTATAGGTAACTGCTAAGGACATGTAGCAGAGACTTGTCTGACTTTGGAGTCATGAAGATTCAAATTCAGATCCCAGCTCTACCCACTCTGAACTGTTTACTGTCTTACTCTCCTTAGCTGCAAAGTGGAACAGTGATCATTTCTAGCCAATAACATTAAAGATAAAATATATATAGATACAGCTACATGTAGTGTTTATATAAAGGACTTAGCACAGAATGTACAATCACAGGCAGTGGCCCTGGCAAGGTGGCCAAGGATCAGCAAAGAATGTTAGGGGAAGTGTGAAAAAGGAAGGGAAAATAATAATAATAAAAAATTTTAAGAAAATCAAGGACCTAGAAAGATGCTTGATGAAAAGGAGGTACTCAGTAAGTGCCAATGTTATATCCTACAGTAGATTTTCCCTTGATGCAAGGGATGTTATTCATACGTCTACTCATACCCTTATTCATTATTCATAGAATACTTAAACTGCAAAACATGGACTCATTGAAATCAAGCGGGGAATATTGACCATTTTAAGTTTTTGGCTATATTTAGAAGCAATATAGCGTGAAGACTCATAGCACTGGCTGTGGAGTTTAACAGAACTGGATATAAATGAAACTGATCTGTATCATTCTCATGAGATGGGGAAATTTACTTAATTTTTATTTCTTTATTTACAAAATGAAGGTATTGATAATATCTACCTCAGGAGGTTGTTACAGTGATTAAATGAGACAAATGACTGGCACATAATAACATTTAACAGTATATCTAAGCTATAAAGTGGTACCAGTGAGTGGGATGAAGCAGAGGTCTTCAGTGAGGAACTAGGACTGAGGTAAGTAGAAAGGAGGAGAATGGCTATCCTGAACAAAGGCATGGGTAAGCATGGAGAACCTCAGAGTATTTGGGATGCAATAAATGTATCTGTTTTTGAAGTTCAAAGGACATATAGGGAAATAGTCTGTATTTTTTTAGGCAGAGAATATAATAAACTTACAGAACTGCAGAATTGGAAAGGATCTTGAAGTCACTGAATCCAAATCATTTATTTTTCCAGTAAGAAAACAGAGGCCTTAGAAAGGCAAGTGATTTGCTGAAAGCCACGTGCTCTTTGAAAGAGTTAGTCCTAGAACAGAGTCACCATGTTGCCTCCTAGTCTCTCCTTGTCCTTAAAAAACATAGACAAAAGCTATTAAAATAAATAGAATATGTAGATGCTCTTTATTTCATAAATTAACTTCCTGGAAACCATACCTATTCAGTAGCTAGAACTGGTGTGAATACAGATAATACAATACAGTTGGATTGTGAATACAATCCAAGCAAGCGTGTAGTTTTTGATTGTCTACTCTCTATTTCAGGCACTGGACATAATGATAAATAAGACAGACAAGGCCCTACCTCTCACAGAACTTCTGTTGGAGAAAATTATCAAAATTAATTTTTAAATAAAAAATATTAGAAATTGTTTTGCAGAGAATTAAAATGGGGTGATTGGGCTTCCCCGGCGGCGTGAATGGTAAAGAATCTGCCTGCAGTGCAGGAGACCTGGGTTTGAGCCCTGAGTTGGGAAGGTCCCCTGGAGTAGGAAATCCACCACGCTCCAGTATTTTTGCCTGAAGAATTCCATGGTCAGAAGAGCCTGGTGGGCTACAGTCTATAGGGTCTCAAAGAGCTGGACACGACCAGCGTTTGCTTACACTTTATGATACAGAATGAACAGAAGGTACTTTGAATGGTAGGGTTGAGCAAGGCCTCTCTCGGGGGGTATCAGAGTCTAGATCTGAATGACTTGGTCTTTGAATTCAGGAGTAAAAGCCTTCCAGTCAGATGGAGCAGCTAGTATAGGGGCCCTCAGACAGAAATGAGCTTGACAGTTTGAACGCAAAGCAAGGCCAGTGAGCCTCGATTTAGTGCGGAAGAGGGGCCAGCAAAGTCAGGTCATCAGAGGCCAGATCATTTTGAATCATGTACGCCAAGATAAGGAATTCAGATTTTATTCCAAGTGAACTCTGAAGCCACTGGAAAGTTTTGTGTGGGCAGTAGTCTGATCTGCTCTGTCTTTGGAAGATCTCTCTAGCTACTGTTTCAGGAGTGGAGTGCGTGGAGCAAGGAGGCCAGTCAGGAGGCTGCTGTTCTCGTCCGTTTGGGAGATGATGGTGGGTTGGAGTAAGGTGACGGAGATGAAGAGGAGTTTAGGTATTTGGGATATATTTCAGATGAATAATAGATAGCTGTTGGTGATGCTTTCAATACTAGGGATAAGGAAGAAAAGAGAAAGCAAAGATAATCCTAGATTTTTGGTGTAAATAGCTAGGTAGATATTTAGGTTTCATTTACAAAGATGAGAAAGACCAGAGAAAGAGTGATTTGATGGGAGCCTGGGGGAATAGAAAGAGCAGTCTACATTTACCATACCAAATTTAAAATGTCCATTATTTATTCAGCTAGTATTTTTGAGTATCAACTCCTTCCTTGGGCTTTAGGAATATCATATTAACAAAAGGCAAAATTCTCTGCCCTTTTGGAGTTTATATTCTAATGGATGATTCAAAGAATTAAGAATAAGGTCTGTGATGTATAGATGTATAGATGGTGGTAAGTTCTGAGGTAGGATTTATAATGAACCGTGTGGTTAGACCTGAGAAGTCTTCACTGACAAAGGGACATGACTTCAAGGAGACTTGAAGGGGGTAAGGGAGTGAAGCATGCAGATATGTGCCAAAAATGTGCACAGAGATAATAGTTTAAAAGTGGGACCAGATGACGCCACAGAGGAAGAGTGTGTTGGTGCTGAAGGAAGGAACCCCTGTGGCCTCTCTCATTGCTGCTGCTTTCCTCAGTGATACAAGCTCATTAACTCAGAGGATTGGAGGAGCTTGGAAGCCAAGTTTAAGAAAGGAGGCGATCGTGTGAAGTAGCTATTTAAGAAAATGCTTGATATATTTGACCTGCAAGTGCTTCGTCTCAGGGAATGACGCAGTGTGGTTTTCTTTCCCTCAGCCAAGAGGTTGGAATCCTATCAGGAAGCTGCCTCTGAAGATGAAGATTCTGCCGGCACTCCCAGCGGCTCCCTCAGCAACATGGCGAAACCAAGGGCCCCCGGCTGCAGGACAGCTCACGGCCGGCCTTTAGGAAGTATCTCCTCGAATCATCTTGCTGGGAGCTGTTTCGCCCTAGAAAGTAGAGAAGGAGCCAGTGAAGTACCTCATTCCAGACAGGCTGCCTTCAGTAGCCCCATTGTAAGTGTGACTGCCTGACCTGAAACTTGTCTGTCCGTGATGAACAATGAAAGAGCATTCTCATAATTATAACAGAGCCACACGCCGTTGTCTCTTCTGCCTGAGAAGAGACTGTGTGAGTTCAGTCTGGTTGCCACACATTCAGTGTCTTAACTTTGGAGAGAGTTCAGTGTCAAGAGATAGTATACCATTTCTGAAAAACATGTTTCTGGTCAAGGTCAGTCACTTCTGAGCCTGGAGAAAGCTGCCTTGCTTTAATGATCACGGCTCACTTTCAGAACCAGCACAACTTACCGGAGGCATCTCGTACACTGGTTCAGTTCAGTTCAGTCCAGTCGCTCAGTCGTGTCTGACTCTTTGCCACCCCATGATTCGCAGCATGCCAGGCCTCCCTGTCTATCACCAACTCCCGGAGTTTACTCAAACTCATGCCCATCGAGTCGGTGATGCCATCCAGCCATCTCATCCTCTGTCGTCCCCTGCTCCTCTTGCCCCCAATCCCTCTCAGCATCAGGGTCTTTTCCAATGAGTCAGCTCCTCGCATGAGGTGGCCAAAGTACTGGAGTTTCAGCTTCAGCATCAGTCCTTCCAGTGAACACCCAGGACTGATCTCCTTTAGGATGGACTGGTTGGGACTCCTTGTAAGTGTGTCTAATTGATAGGGAAATTCAGAGGCCTTTTTATTTCTTTGTAATCCTCCCCGAAATCCCACTAAATCTGTGTGTTCTTCCCCATTCCTAGTCCTCAGCAGATCATTTTCCAGTGTTTCTGTATCAGAGCTCAAGAGGGTGTTTTTTTTAAGTCCTGAGAGGAAAATATGGAGGAAGAACCATGTGGAAGATGGGAAAGAGGAAAGATGCTTGTGGGAAAGAATTAGAAATCAAAACTTTTGCTGCACTTAAAATCACTTTGGTAAAATTTCAACGGCCTTCTCTGCCCTCCACATTTCATTAACTCTTCCTTACCCTCATTCAAGATGAGGGTTCCCTAGCCATGAGACTGATAAGCAGTTGGTGATCTCTGAAATAGGTGACATAACAAGAAATAAACAATTTTGGGAAGACTTTTGTTTCTGCATTGAATTTACGTAGACTTTCATAGTAGGGATGCGATCTGAGTATACCTCAGGGATCTCATTTGTCCTGGAAAGGCCTGGAGAGAAATCTGGCTCTTTTCAAAGTTCCTACAAATAGGGCAATTTAGAATCTAGGAAGATCATTTCACTGAAACTTATCCAATGCATTTCTTTGGCTCTAAGGATATAATACCTGTTATATCCTATCATTACCATATGTCAAGCTATTCCAAACATCTGAACTTAATTTTTCTCCAACCTCTGAGGAAAAAAAAAGGTGAAGAATGCATATAGCCTCTTCTCTGTACTCATTTTCAGGCTCTGTCAGAAGTAGAGATCTGTTTTCTTCCGTTTTATCCGTTTTTCCCGTTACTCTGCTGATCTTTTACCTTTGCCACCGCCTGCAGTTGACCATATGTTGAGTCCTGTTTGCCTGGAAGTCAAGGATACTGATGACCAGGTGGGACTGAGCCATGGCCTCCCTCTGTTTCCCGATCCAGCCTCACTCTCTTCGTGGAACAAAGGATTATTTCCTAATTTGGAGTCATTATGGTTTTTGTACCATTTCCCCTGTCTAAAATTCATTCTCCCCTCACCACCTGCCTCTAGCTACCAGATCTGATAAAATACTTCTTTAAATATCATTTCTTCCAAAGACGACTCAGACTCTTTGTTGCTAAGTCTTGTTTACACAGTCCCTCCTGCCCTTCAGCCCCTTAGTACTCATGGCCTTGGCCTTATTTCTGCCTCTGGTGTGGACCTTGCCCCTTGAATCCTCAGCATCTGAGGTCAGCGTCCCCCACGTCTGCTGTCAGTGAAGCATCATCATTTGACGCCGCTCCGCAGGCTGAGTCTTCCTGTTCGGTCTGTTCTGTTTTGGCGCCTTGTACCCCAGCTCCGTGTGTTGTGCTGATTATATAGTTTCTCTGGGGTTGCTGCTCTGTTCTGTGTTTTGAATACCAGACCCTTACATATAGAATGATGAGGTGTTCCTGGAGATATGAGACCATCTCTCATGCTTGCTGTAGACAAGCCAATTCTGTCCTTCTTGGAGACTAAAGATTATTTTGAGAAAACTATAGATCCTTTAACCTGAAAAGCTGACATCTGTGAAAATCGTCCATACGATACTAAAAGTCTGTTCATGTATCCCAGGTTGTAGAACACCAGTGTGGAAGCGCCATGGGGGCTGTGATGCCTGGAAGTGGACAGTTGTTACGATGGAGCCCTTCACGGGGGGGGGGGGGGGGGGGGGCGAGGGGTGCGTCCGAGAGTGAGGCCCGAGGCAGAGCGCCGGCACAGGTGCGCCAGCGTCGGGCTAGCGCGGCATCGAGGACCTGGGGTCCTGGGTCGCACGGCCTGCTTTAGAAACAGTGAGCCCTGACTGTGCGAGTCAGCGCTTCTGTGCTTCTTTAATCCTCTAGTTTTCATTCAGCAAGCATACTGCTCCTTCTGCCTGGAGTGCTATCCCCCTAGGTCTTTATATGGCTGTTTCCTTTCTTTTCACTGAGGTCCGAGCTCAGATGTCACCTCCTCACTAAATCTTGTTGATGTTCAGTCGCTAAGCCATGTCAGACTCTTTGTGACCCCATGAACTGCAGCACGGCAGGCTTCCTTGTCCTTCACTATCTCCTGGAGTTTGCTCAGACTCATATCTGTTGAGTCAGTGATGCCATCCAACCATCTCATCCTCTGTCGTCCCCTTCTCCTCCTGCCCTCAATCTTTCCCAGCATCAGGGTCTTTTCCAGTAGTTAGTTCTTTGCATCCAGTGGCCAGAGTATTGGACTTCAGCATCGGTTCTTCCAATGAATATTCAGGGTTGATTTCATTTAGGGTTGACTGGTTTTATCTCCTTGCTGTCCAAGGGACTCTCAAGAGTCTTCTTCAACACCACAGTTCAGAAGCATCAATTCTTCAATATGGTAGTAAGATTCAGTAAATCTCACTGACCATCCAATCCAAAGTATGTTCCATCTCCTGCACACTTGCCTGGATCTAGAGCCATCTATTTATAGGTTAATTTATCTCCCCCACCTAGGATGTCAGTTCCATGCACCCAGGATCCCATATGTTCTGTGCACCCCTCTTTTCCTTGAGGTGTTGCTTATACCATAGATCAATAATAAATATTTATGGAGTAAATACTCCATAATGGAGGGATATTCCATTAATGGAGTAATGGAAGACAATGACGTAATACTAGAGCCTGGGATATAAAATGGATAAGACACATCCCCAGCTTTCAGCTTTGCTCTTGATAGAGGAGGCAGACATATAAGTAATTAGAGGTAATCCTGTATTGAAGATGCCATAATGGTAGTTAATCCATAGTATTAAGAAGGCACAAAGAAGAGAGTCGTCAACTCTCTGGGGATGAGAAGGGATCAAGAAAAGCTGCACAAAAGAGGTTAAACTTATCTTATGATTAATGAGTGGAGGGTTACACGGTAGAAAAGGAAGGAAAAGCACTCGGGGCAGACAGCAGGAGTGTGTGCAGGGGCCCAGAACCCCACGTCCGGGAGGACACAGTCGGGGGAGGAGCTGTGCATGTGTGGCTGTTGGCCTTTGTCTTTTCTCTTAGGTCTTTGGTATTCAGGAATCTGAGGCAAAAGGCATTTGTATCTGTATTTAAGCCAAAGTTGTCCGGATGGAGTGCTAAGTCCCTGGGATTGCAGTGAGGGTGGCAGCAGGGAATGAGATAAAAACCTCAGGTCCAGGTGACAGAGGGGCAGCAGAGTGCAGTGTTGGGCTTCCCAGTGGCTCAGTGGTAAAGAATCACCTGCCAAGCAAGCGACATGGGTTTGATCCCTGGATTGGGAAGATCCCCTGGAGAAGGAAATGGCAACCCACTCCAGTATTCTTGCCTGGGAAGTCCCATGAACAGAGGAGGCTGGTGGGCTACAGTCCACGCGGTCGCAAAGAGCTGGACACGACTTAGCAACTGAATGACAGAGCACAGTGTTGGAATGTGGTCAGTGTCATCTCCCACGTGGAGTATCTTCGTTCACTATTAAACTTCGGACAGTTTCGATTTTGCATAAATAAAGTGGGTCCAAGTCATTCTCAGTTTGAAAACAGAGTTAGCGTTCAGTACACAGTAAGACTATACAGAAACCTCGGCAGACACTTTGAGAGGGCAAAGAGAAGTCTTGGCCAGTGTTTGTTTTGATTGGGTTTGCACCGGGGGAAACACAGAAGGAAATGAAGGAAGGAACGTAGGAGAGGGAGGGAGGGAGGAAGCTGAATGTGAAATCTGCAGCCTGGTAAGAAGACATTAGATGGATCGTGGCAGCAAATGTAAGGTTTCAAATAGTCAGATGCTGTCTGAGATTAGGACTAAGATGTACTCCCACCAGGAAACAGATAAGGCTTACTTTAAATATGGGAAGCTGTCTACATCATGTTCTGTAGTCTCTAATTAAGAGTATACAATTTTTCACTGCATAAAAAAATAAACGTCTATTTGAGGTCAAGTGGGAGGGGGTTATGTCTTTGTTTTCTAAGAATAACGTCTTTTTAATCTGTTATCCACCCCCTTCTTTATGGAATATAAAACCAGCAAATGTTTGTTAGTAATGTACAGCAATAAAATTTTATAGCTCATCCATGTGCCAGGTACTGACACAGATTCTGAGTTAGAAATCCAAAAATCTTTAAGATATGTTAACAAATCCGTAAAAAATAATGAAATAATGCCTTTTGCAGCAACATGGATAGAGATTATCATACTAAATGAAGTAAGTCAGACAAAAACAAATATCATATGATATTTTAATTGCTCAGTTGTGTTCGAGTCTTTTGTGACCCCATGGAATGTAGCTCGCCAGGCTCCTCTGTCCATAGGATTTCCCAGGCAAGAATACTGGAGTGGGTTGCCATTTCCTTCTCCAGGGGATCTTCCTAACCCAGGATCAAGTCTGAATCTCCCACTTGGTAGGTGGACTCTACCACTGAGTCACCAGAGAAGCCCGATATCACTTACATGTGAAATCTAAAAGAATGATGCAAATGAGTTTATTAGAAATCAGAAATAGACTCACAAACATAGAAAACAAATTTATGGTTACCAAAGAAGAAAGGGGGAAGGGATAAATTAGGAGCATGGGATTAAGCGATACAAGCTACTATACATAAAAAAATGTTGTGGTTATATTAAGAGATACAAGCTACCATACATGAAAAGGTCTTGGAAGAGACCCTGATGCTGAGAAAGATTGAAGGCCGGAAGAGAAGGGGACGACAGAGGATGAGATGGTTGGATGGCATCACCGACTTGATGGACATGATTTTGAGCAAGGTTTGGAAGTTGGTCTGGACAGGGAAGCCTGGCGTGCTGCAGTTCGTGGGGTCACAAAGAGTTGGACACAACTGAGCAACTGAACTGAATACATAAAATATATAAGCAACAAGGATTTACTGTATAGCTTGGGGAAGTATATTCAGTACCAAACAATAACTTAGAATGGGAAAATTTTGAAAAAGAATAGATGTATATATAACTGAATCATTTTGTTGTATACCTGAAACATTGTAAATCAACTGTTCCTCAATTTTAAAAAGTATGCAAACATATATAAGATACAGGTTCCTTCCTTTAAAGGAACTCACCCTGTGGGGCAAGAAGTACATATACAAGGGATTATTTAAAGCTGGATGGTGTGGATTTGGTTCTTGGGTTAATTGGAATTCAGAGAAGGCAGGATCTGTCCATCACAGGAAAAAAAAAAAGAGCAAAAGTCAATTTTGAAATAGAAGGTATCCATGAGGAAGATTCGGATCTTAGAAGAAGAAAAAAAAAACCCCGCCAAAGCATCTTATGCATAAGAATTGTGCGGGATCGCTCTGTACTTCTGAGTTCAGGAACTGAACGCCTTAGTCCGTCAGGGTGAACTTGTCAGAGACAGCAACTAAAGGGAAGAACGTTTTGTTCCTGCAGCTTCGTTTTGACGTGGCTCGTTCCTTACATCTTCTGGGCTCTTCTTTGTATTGTTAGTTTTTGATGCTTTTCGGGTCTTGTGTGGTCCTGAGTTCCTCACATCTTTTGACCATTCTTTTTGTAAATACAGTTTCCAATCGGAGTCCCCGCTCTGGTCAGCTCCCTGTCTTCTTTTATTCTCACGGCCACAGCATCGGTTCTTAAATTCCCTGAATGACGCATTAGATTGACTTACGTCGGCAGTGTCTGTCACCAAGACGGAACTTACAAATCTGTAATTAGTCTTAGAGTAACTTCAGAATGAAGTCCGGTCCTGATGTTCTGAAGCCAGTTACTCATCAGTGTGGAGATCATCAGTACAATAAAGTCACTGTTTGCTTCTAAGGTCTGGAACTCAATCCTGATTGTGTTCCAAACAGCAGATGTCTCTTAGAGATAACATTGCCAAAACTTTTGCATACTGGCGACTTCTTGGAGATTCCTGGCACCTATTAAACACTTAGAAGTGCTACAATAGAGAGACCTATTTAAACACTTCTTAAACTTACTTTAGTATGGAACTCTTTGGGGTTTTGCTTAATATGCATAAACATTTTGAGAAGGATGCCTTTGGAAATACTGCTCCAGCCTATGGCATCTCTCACACTCACCAGATGCCAGGATCATCATAGCCTTCATCAGTTCCATGCACAAGGTTCCCAAGCATCAGACCTTGCCACTCTTGTAGCTAGCTTTGGCAAGGGGATCCTCAAGGAAGGGGTGTTTCTCCCAGTAACTGAGGGCATAGCAGACTCTTGCTGGCTCAGTGTTACTCTTGTGAGACTTGAGAGGAAATGTGGCCAACTAGTTAGTGAGCAGCCGTCAGACTGCAAACATTTGCAAACTCTATCAAACACAACATGGTTCAAACTTTGCTAGGTAAACTATCTCAGAACAATAGATGCTGTCTTGAGATAGAAATTTAAGACTGTCTTTTGACAGCAGAAAGCTGGGACCTTTGAAACCCACTGTGCGCCAGGCAAACTGCCTGGAGATGGGTGTGTCGTTCCAGAAGACAAAGGAACATAAAGTTACTCCAGTTTCTGCTGTGCTGGTCTCGCCTCAACTCACTGTCTCCTTTACTTCATACAGCCACCCTCTGCGGTAGGTGTACTTTTTAAGATTATTCAGAAGAGGGAAATGAAGCTCAGAGGGTTAGTTAAATAAGTAAGTTGCCTGAGGCTCCTAGAGAGGATGTAGTGGATCTAGAGCCTGAACCCAAACCCATAGAATTTCCAGCCTGTGCTCTTTGTTTGTTGAGCCTGTGTTAAAACTTACCAAAGTCCTAAGTGTAAAACGCAAGCCATGATCACCGAGTCTAACATCAAGCATCTCCTTATTTGAGTCTGTTCTCTCTATCGCCTCTCTTGGCTTTCCTGAAGTCAGTACGCTTTGCCAGCATCCTGGATTCCTCTAGAATACAGTGGCACTTTTTTGAAAACTTGATTCAGAGATGATGATCCCTTTTTTGAATCATCCAAAATATTTCTAAAGCAATTGACTACATATTACAAAATTATAAAGACATTTCTACAACATTATTCTTTCATTAAAGCTAGTACTTCTAAATAAGTGTGAAAAGTACTGTGTTAAACAGAATGAAGTATTTTCCCCCAATAATCAAACTTCTTAACCCTTGGATGTTCATCGCTGACTCTGTCTCTGGGTCGGGAAGATCCCCTGGAAGACAGCATGACAACGCACTCCAGTCCTCTTGCCTGGAGAATCCCATGGACAGAAGAACCATGAACAAGGGGGTACAGTCCATAGGGTCGCAAAGAGTCGGACACATCTGAAGCGACTTAGCATAGCAAGTGTGGATGTTCATATCTTGTAAGGTATTACTAGGGAAATACAGATAAACTCTGTTAGGCTGCTTATAGTAGTTTTTATTTTGGAGGGTTGGTTTCTAAACAACAGTAGTGACTTGAGCCATAAAATATTTTGTTAAAATAACATAGTATGAATAACATGCTCACTTTTAAAAGAATTAATATTCATCAGTTGCTGTTGGATGAGTCTATGCCCAAAGTAGAATCCTACGATAGAATACAGCTCTGCACTGTGTATTTCAAAATAAGGAAACACTCATTCAATTAGAATTTGGTGAAAGGCGTGTCTCCATCTCTTACTCTGTTTAATAATCAAGGTAATCTCCTTTCATATTGTGCATTCTGGATTTCCCATTGAAGTTTTTGTCTTTTATTCCTTTTTTTTCACTTCCCATGATACCATGCACATTAAATTTTTTTAAAAAGAATAGTTTACTGTCTCATGTTTCATAGATTCTGGTTAGAAATCATGCTTCTTGTGTAGACTTAAAACTCATATTTTTAGGTGCTTGTTGTAGCCACACTGTGTCTCATTGGATATTCAGGAAACAGATGTGGTACCAGACACCAGGCTTTTGGACAAGTTTAGTCAGATCACACCTCTACTCTTCACCCCGACGGATGAGACTGTTCCAGATCCACCGCTGGAGACTCTCTGCATCATTGACTTCTTCATTGCGCTGGCAGTTTGCAATACAGTAGTGGTTTCTGCTCCTAACCACCCACGGCAAAAGGTAAGACTCTAATGCAAATAGGGGTCACCTTCCAGAAGAGAACTTTGGGTTTAAATATATTTGTTACATGCTCTTTCTGTGCATGCGTGCTAAGTCGCTTCAGTCGTGTCCAGCTCTTTGCAATTCCATGGACTGTAGCCTGCCAGGCGCCTCTGTCCATGGGGATTCTCCAGGCAAGAATACTGGAGTGGGTTGCCGTGCCCTCCTCCAGGGGACCTTCCCTACCCAGGGATCAAACTGGAGTTTCTTACAGCTAACCTGCATTGGCAGGTGGGTTCTTTACCACTTGCACCACCTGGGAAGCCCCGTGGTCCTATATGGATTGTAATTAACAACAGTAACAGGTAACATTTATACATAGCTCAACCTGTACTCTGAATTTTTGATGTTCTGAGTGATTTATTGGTATCAATAGGTTTAATACTCCCAACAGTCCCATGAGTTAGGTGCTGTTACTCTACTGCTCCTCATTTTACAGGTAAGCTTGAGTAACGCCCAGGGATACAGGACCAGTTTGTTGGGGAAATAGGATTGAACCCAGGGAGTATGGATCCATGCTACTATACTATTTTGCTTCCAGGAGGATAGCTAATGAGAGCAGTTCTTGGCAAATGTGACTCTCTTCATTTTGCTTTACTTTGCCTACCAAATTGAAGCTTTCTGTGAAACTTTTGAGACCTCCAACATATGCACTACATCAAGCAAAATATAAAGTATTAGATTTATTATTATGTTTAATGATAATATACCTTTTCATATGCCAGTTGGGTAATGTAAACTCAATTACTGGAAGATCCAATACATCTATAATATACCAAGGTTCTGCTGTTCCCACACAAGCTGAATCTTTAAAGTCTCTTTGTAGCTTAGAATTCATGGAAAATTCATTTTCAGTTAAAAAGGAAAGCTTGCTTTAGAGATTGGTGATTCACCACTCGCTGTGCTATCTTCCTTGAGTATAACTATTTCTCCTTTTGCACACATCCACTTAAAATTCAATTTGCAGCACAACCCAATTAAATTTTCATTTTCTATTAGATCATTTTCTCTTGGAAACTTCAGAGGTGGTCAGTTTTAACATAAAAATAACTTACTTCTCATTAAGCTTTCATTTGATCAGAAGCTGTATTTTTATAAGATTTCAATTAGAAACTTGCTCTTTGAAGTTATCTAGTTAGAGGATAAATCACTGGATATTCTGGTTTTCTCCTCATATAGCACCTTTTGATATACATCTGTTTCCAGTGCAGACATCTTTTGGCATTTTCTGCTTAAGAAATATAGTTGTCTTATCCCCAAAGAATGTAATATTCTGTGGCCTGAAAGAAAATCTCTGTAGGCATATAAAAGCCTAAGCCTCATCATATTTTAAGGTAGTGATAGCAAGGCAGTGATTAAAGAGCTCATTGGAATTCATGTGTAATACAGAAATGTCATCTGTAGTTGAGTTCACTTTTCATTTTTGAGTTGCCAGTAAGTTTGCAAATTGACCAACATGAGTCCCTCAAACTATCATGAAATTAATAATTATTAGGAGAAAATTGTTTCATTCCCTGGACATTTCTAATGAGAAAATTTTAGAATTCAATTAATTGGTCTTCCCAATTAGTATTAAATTCTAAATTGAATCACTGATAAGAGTTAAGATCTAGGAGAAATCAGAATATGAACAAGAAAAAGTTCTATAAAAGTAGAAATTTGAATTCATATTATGATATTGATAGTCTTCCGTAAACTACTTTATTGGCCTATTTTCCTTAAGTCAAATTAACCTTTTTTAGAATCTGAAAAATAAAAGAAAAAACACATTTTGTTAGTCTTTTGATTTACTTTCTTCTAGTGTTTTAAATGTGTATTACTCATTTGTTTTTCTGCTGCTCATACTATTTTTATAGCTTTTTCAGTATGGCCCTATAATCTTTATAAACTTGATATTTAAATATTATATGACATTTTAAGAAGATGTTTCTAATTTGTTATTGAATACTTATAATTTTTAAATTGTTATTGCTAGGATGCATATAATAAAGATAATTTTTTATATTATTTTATCATGAAAATTTGCTAAAAGTATGCCTACTGCTACCAATATTAGCACACTATCTCTTTTGCTATGAGCTGTCAGATTTCTTCCTAAGTGGTTGTAGAAATTCACAGCGCTATCAACATTAGCACATCTTTTTCATAATGGCTGATTTTTTTTTTATTAATTTTTGTATCATTGTTAGGTATGAAACAGTCTGCTAAGTAAGGGAGTAGTAACTTTTCATTGTCCTTTTCTGCCCTAGTTTGACTTCATAGTTGTCATCAACTGCTTTTGCCTGTTTCATTGAGACCTTCTCATGTTATCTTTCCTAGGTCGGACTCTCTTCTCTGCGTGGCATACCCATTAAATCTTTGGAGGAGATTAAAAACCTCTTCCAGAGACACTCCGTCCGAAGGTCAGGTTCACCACCTCTTGCCAGTGGGAGAGCGCCCTCCGGAGTCCCACACGCCTTTGTGAGCAGACTCCCTCTGCTTAGTAGGATGAAGCCAGCCTCACCTGCGGGGGAAGAGGTCTCCCGCACGAGTGGGGGCCCCCGGGGCTCGGATACCGCAGCGTGTCCCACAGAAGCCGAGGGAGGAAGCGGCGATGCAGCCATCGCGAAGGGCACGGTGGAGCCCCGCCCTGGGCAGCCCTTGACCGCCAGCCTGTGTTACGAGGCCGAGAGCCCCGACGAAGCCGCCCTGGTGTACGCCGCGCGGGCCTACCGCTGCACGCTGCGGTCCCGGACCCCAGAGCAGGTCGTGCTGGACCTCGCCGCTCTGGGACCGTTAACGTTTCAACTCCTGCACATCCTGCCCTTCGACTCAGTGAGAAGAAGAATGTCCGTGGTGGTCCGGCACCCCCTCTCCAGCCAAGTGGTGGTGTACACAAAGGGAGCTGACTCCGCGATCATGGAGTCGCTCTCCGTGGCTTCCGCAGGTGGGTGCAGGCAGCACCGAGACAGAAGCGTGGGGAGGCCTTGGCGACCACAGGGCCACTCTCAACGGTCCTGTGGAGGCAACCAAGCCGCTCTGAGAGGATCCACCACACTTGTGAAGTAGGGGCGCTGCCTAGGATTTGGTGAGAGAGCACCTAGGTTTTGGGGTTCCATAGACCAGGGTTTGAACCTGTATTCTTTTTTTTTGAAAGTAAGAATGTTGTGTAACTTACGGCAGAGGACACAGACATTTAAAACAATGGAAGATACACTCAAGTGTAGGGTTTCCCATTCTTATATACTTTTTTTGCAATATTAGGGTTCTCAAGTATAGGCTTTCACATTTTTACCAAAAGATACAACATTTGTCCATAGTATAATCAGCAGATAATGGATCAAAGGGATCTACTATATGCAATATATGCAGTGCCTCTGCTCAGAGCCTAGAAAATGGCAAGTGCTCAGTGGAGACAGCCAGCATAACTATAATCATGGTTACTGCTGCTATCACTGTTGTGGGGATGGCATTTGTATTAATTTCAGGGACCTTTTCTCCCCAAGGAGAAAGGAACAAGGGAAAGATTTATTCTGAGGGGATCCCTTTTATAAATGCACACTTAGGATTCAAAACTATGAGGCCTTTTGTTTGTTAAGGATTAAGCTCCCGTTATTTTTTAAACATGTCTGTCGTTGGATAAACTGGTAGGAGCACTTGTGTTTTGTCAATTATTTCAGGTGGACCAGCTCTGGAAAAGCAGCAGGTGATGATCAGGGAGCAAACCCGGAAGCACTTGGACGACTACGCCAAACGAGGCCTGCGCACCCTGTGTGTAGCGAAGAGGGTGAGGCTGCCGGGCACCCACTGGCTTCCTCCTCTCCTGTGTTCGACTATCCTTTAATGAGAGCAAGCGTGTATGAGACCCTGATCCAGGCATCTGAGAAAGTTCCTGGGCCAGTGGCCTTCTTTTCATATAGTTTCTTTATTCCTTATATATTAGTTGGTCAGAGTTTGTCCTCAGAGCATTTTGCCAGAAAAGTTTTCAGTAGCTCTGAGCATTTTCATTTGGAAGCTGCAGTGTGGCTGGGAATAAAAACCCCTGGGCCCTACTCTCCTGCTCTCAGTACCTTGTAAACGTCATTCCTCTGTCTTGCAGCATTAAACGTGCCTTTAAAAGAATGAGGCCAAAAGAGAATGGCCTTTATTTCCCCCTAGAAGCTCTTGATATTTTTTCCTTTTTTGTTTTTACATCTTTATCTGCAAACCCAGGTACATTCCCTAAATATTATCTAAGTTGTGATTATTCTCTGTGTAGAATAATCCTGAGACCTCATTTTTCCTTTCTACATAAAAAATAATGTAATAAGTAGAGAGAGTTCCAAGAAGTGATTTGAGGGGTGCTACTACCGATACCACCCCTGGGAGCATGGGAGAAACCGAGATACAGAGTCTTTTAAGAGCGAATTCATCAAGTTTTTTGTGCCCCTTGGCCAGTGAGGCGTGGCTTCAGTATGGACCAAGTCCAGCTGCCCAGCTGTAATGTTGCTGTGTGCTAAGTTGCTTTGGTTGTGTCTGACTCTTTGTGACCCTGTGGACCCACCAGGCACCTCTGTCCATGGAATTCTCCAGGCAGGAACACTGGAGTGGGTTCCCGTTTCCTCCTCCAGGGCCTCTTCCTGACCCAGAGATGGAACCTGCATCTCCTTCTGTATCCTGCATCGGCAGGTTCTTTACCGCTCGTGCCACCTGGGAAGCCCACTCGGCTGTAATAAGCCTAGGCAAAGCCTTACACCTTTAGATTCCCCTCCCTTATTAATAAGCCAAGACACGCCGAGTCCCGTCCCTACAACTGTGTCCCCAGATGCACACCTCGGTAGTGTTTCTTCCTCCAGTGGAGATCCCGCTAGCTCACTGATGAGTGCCGTGGCAGGAGAGGATGGCGAAGTCTGCTCAGGGTAGAGAAGGAGAGTCTAATGAGGCCTTGGGCAAGGGAAGGACGTGCTTATGGGGAAGGGAAGGGAGTCTGCTGCCAAGAGATAGCCCAGGCTTTGTTCCTTGCTCCTTGTCCTTCGGTGTTTTATCTGTCAGCCCACACGGGGGGAGTACTGGAGGAGAACCAAGGAGGCTGCTCTTGCCAACTCTCTCTCCTGCATAGCTGCCTCCCACCCCTTCTGTCATCCTCTCACTCCCTGGCTCCGAGCCCTGCAGTTAGTTTTTGCTGGCGTAGAAGCCAGAGCGTCGCGTCCCTGCCCTTCACCGTGAGCTCTGGCCCGTAGAGAAGACGGAGAGAGACGCGTAGATCGAGGCATCCGGTCTTTAATGTCTGTTCGGTAATCCCCAAACCACAGAGCTCCCGAGAGAACTGCAGACTGAACTGGAGTCTTAACTGAATTGGAGACTGCACCTAGGTCCTGAGACCAGTGCCGGCATCTCTCATTTCTTTCCCAAATTCTAGTTCTCGGAAACTGCCTTAGGAAAAGTAGCATATAGCCCAGCAGACGTCAGAGTCTCCCAAATCACATTACCTTGTGAGCAAGAATGAGTAGAGAAATTGGCTCACCCCATCAACTCGATGCTGCTTTATAAGAATTGAAAGTAGATTTCTTCTCTATAGCAATCTGAAGACAAAGGAAAATGCATCATTGGTTCTTTCTCTAGGAATTCCACTTAATGTTTTGTCTGGAAGAGAGCTTTCTTTCTTCACTCATTTGGCTTCCTCTTTCTTTTAACCCCTATGAATACCTCACCCCATAAACCAACCATCAAATGAAATCAAAGGTGGGACTTTCCCAGTGGTCCAGTGGTTAAGACTCCAAGCTTCCAATGCAGGGAGCATGGGTTTGATCCCTCCCTAGTCGGGGAGCTAAGATCCCACACGCCACATGGTGCAGCCAAACAGAACAGTGCTGCTGGTGATGTAACACCTGAAGTTGAGTACCTGACACCGCTTTCTCAACTGCACCATCAGAATCACCCTGGATTTCACTTTCAAGTGGCTCCTTTCTCCTTTCTGTCTGCATAGTTCCTGGTTTAATTAAATAGATTAACCCATTTTCATCTTATGAGTAGAATTTCCCAGAGATACTGAGCTACGGGGTCCATCCATCCTCAGGGTTATACTAGTCTGATCACAGAACTTGGGAGGTTTGCTACTGGGTATGGTATTTGGACCTGGCCTGTGTGAACCCAGAAAGAGGTATACCTAAAATGAGTTCATGGTTTGATATTTTTCTAGGGTGGGTCTTGATGGCTTTATCACATAGCCTGCCTCATAGCTTTTTTTCCCCCATAGGTCATGAGTGACACTGAATATGCAGAGTGGCTGAGAAATCATTTTTTAGCTGAAACCAGCATTGACAACAGGGAAGAATTACTCCTTGAATCTGCCATGAGGTTGGAGAACAAACTCACTTTACTTGGTAGGTGGACTACAGTGTATTGTCTTAATGGAGAATATGTTTAAATGCTTTATGTCTCTGTATTAGTTATTTACCAGTGCCTTTTTTCCCCACTTTGACCTAATAGATATATGTGGTTCTATCCATCCTGTCCAGTTTGATCTCTACCCAGCTTCCAATCCTTCCTAGTCCATTTTCGACCACAGTAAACTTGACTTCATTTGTGGTAGGGTCAGGGTGATCATCCTTAAGATCATTTAACAATTCAACACTTAACATAGAGTATAAAGCTGAATAAATACCCTTGTTCCAGAGAAGAAAGCTCGAGTTTCTTGCCAGGTATTGGATAAGGTTTTTAACATATGTTGTCTTTTTGAATCCACACTGCAGAACTGTTTTACATAGAAGAAACTTGGGGTGCAGAGCAGTGTATTGACTTGTTCAGAGTCACATTCTAGTCACTGGCAGAGCTGGGGAGAAGCTCAGAGCTATCCATCCCTCACTCTAGAGCCCATATTCTTTATTCTGTGCCTGCAATTGGACTAAAATTTTTCTTCTCTCTCTTACTTTTTGGTTTCAGCTAAAAGTTGCACACCTGACACCTCTTGTTTCAGATTGAACTACATCTTAAAATTCCCTGGAGCAGTTTAAATAATACCAGTGCCTACCCACGGAATCTGATTCACTTGGCCTGATATGTGGCCTGGGTATTTGAATTTTTCAAAGTTCCCCAAGTAGTTCCCAAGAGGCAGTCAAGGTTGAAAAACACTGTCTTAGAGTCTGGACCTCTAGATACTAATATAATAAATGCCAACACACCAAAATACCAGTCTCTAAGCTGCATTCCTCAGGTTCAGAGAAAAGCCATGACCCGACTTGGTCTCTAGCCAGTGGAGTAATGACCTCCCTCTCAAGTCATGTCTCCATGACAGTGTGAGTGGCCTGTAACAGATCCACTTCTCCTCATCTGCAGTCCCAAACTCAGCGCACTATGTGGGTTTATTGCCAAAACTCATTCAGTGGCAAGATCAGGCCTGATTCGATTAGACAGTTTAAAGTATTTATTATCCTAATTTGTGATTGTTGTAATTTATGTTTTGCTAAAGAAATATTAATATGCTTGATTACCAGATATTATAAGATATGACACATGTACCATGTTACCTAAAAATCTGCAGAGCTTTTGAGTTCCAAAATATAGCTAGTCTCAGTTGTTTTAGAAAAGGGAATTATGGACTCTTAATATGAAAGAGCATTAAAAATAGATATTGTGGGTTACTGACCAGAACGTTCTTTAAAAGCCTGTCTTTACCCTTGGGAGTATCATAGAATTATAAAATTGGGGAGTAACTTTATATAAGTAACAATGAAATCCCCTCAATCTCCCTAGAAGAAAGCTAGCCAGAAGGAGAGCAAGTGAGTTTGATAAACTCATTGATTGCTAAGGCTTTCCTCTCCCAATATTACTTTTTTGTATATGATTTTGTCTGAGGGGTCATTTCATTTGGACCCCTCGAAGCTACTGGAGTGGTTTGCATAGTTTAGGACAGGATCAGCTAACAGATAGGGTTCCATTATAGTTTAGGCGAGCTTCAGCTGGCTTTTGTTTCTTACAAGTCCTATTGAACTCCGGTTATTTTTTAGGTGCTACTGGCATTGAAGATCGTCTGCAAGAGGGGGTCCCTGAGGCTATAGAAGCCCTTCACAAAGCTGGAATCAAGATCTGGATGCTGACAGGGGACAAACAGGAGACGGCTGTCAATATTGCTTATGCATGCAAACTACTGGAGCCGAATGACAAGCTCTTTATCCTCAATACTGAAAGTAAAGTATGTACCCTGAGATTAGCCCAGTCTTTTTTTTTCCAAAGCCAGTGGAATACTTGTGATTTCATGACTGTTAGGAGATGAAAAACCAAGAACCTTTAGCTCCTGGATAATTGGTTCTGCTGCCCAGCAGTGGGACTTCCCTGGGGCCTCAGTCGGTGAAGAACTGGGCCTGCCATGCAGGAGACCCAGGTTCGATCCCTGGGTCAGGAAGACCCCCTGGAGAAGGAAATGGCAACCCACTCCAGTATTCTTGCTGGAGAGTCCCATGGACAGAGGAGCCTGGCAGGCTACAGTCCTTTTGGTCAGAGGAGTTGGACACGGCTTAGCGACCGTGCTGCTACTGCTATCCAGCAATGTAGCTTGTTTAGTTATCTTAAAGGCTTGGAAAATATAATGATTCAAAGGCAAAAATTTCCGTTAAAAGAATTTCCAATGTATTTGCTTCTCCCTTACCCCATATTGAATTATCACTGAGTTGACCAGATTTAGCCTTTGATGCGGAGAAGGCAATGGCACCCCACTGCAGTACTCTTGCCTGGAAAATCCCATGGACGGAGGAGCCTGGTGGGCTGCTCCCACCAGGAGCAGAGTCTGCTAAGAGTCGGACACGACCGAGCGACTTCACTTTCCCTTTTCACTTTCATGCACTGGAGAAGGAAATGGCAGCCCACTCCAGTGTTCTTGCCTGGAGAACCCCAGGGATGGGGGAGCCTGGTGGGCTGCCGTCTCTGGGGTCGCACAGAGTCGGACTTGACTGAAGCGACTTAGCAGCAGCAGCCCATGATGACAAAATATGTCAAGCTGAGAGGCAGGCATCTGCCTGCCTTTCAAGCTGAGGGGAAGTGATTTCTGGTGTGATGGTGTGAATATTTTCCTGATAATTTTAAAATTAGGCTCAGAGGATAATCTTGCCCTCTAGTGGCAAATCTTAGATAGTGCACCTGAGAATATCAAAAGTTGAAAAAACTCGAATGGAAAAAAGTTTTTTCTTCTCCTTTTTTAAGGAGAAGGAATTTAAAGGGTTTGGATTCAGCCTGTATTTTCCAATGCCCTCTTCCCTCCAGCCCTGTCACCAATCTCTAACACAAACAGTCTAATTAAACAGGCATTCTGTTGATTCTTAGCACAACGACACCAAGACCTGTGCGTTCTGTATGACTTGCCTGGAAAGCCTCCCTCCTCCCTTCCTAAGCCGTCAGGCTCTACCGGTCACCGCCGTTTTGTCACGCGGCCTGCCTCTCAGACATTCCCTGGGACTTGTCGCCCGGGCCCTGGCCTGGGTCTCGGCCGCAGGCCGCCGTGTTTGCTTAGCCACGCTTTTACGGTCAGTCGTCAGTCAGTTCCCAACTAGATGGTACACTTTGAGGGAAGAGAGTGTTCCTTAATACAGACTTGGTTCTCCTTGGCAGTGGATAGTGGCCCAGTAACCCGTAAGCAGAACTAGCAGCCAGATCCCACTATCAGCTAGGGAGTTAGCCCCAGAAAATGCCTGGTCATTTTAGTCACTAAAATGGATGTGCCCTTAAGTCTAGTAAGACCTGGATTCAAATGCTTAGCCTGCCAGTGACCAGGTATGTGACCTTTGGGAGTTAACCACCTGAGTCATTTTCCTTACCAGTGATGTGAGAGTAATGCCTGTTTCATAGCATTGTTGTATGTATTAAATGGGAAAATATAAATTGTTTAATATGCCCCTGGCAGATGTAAGGGCTCCCCTAGTGCTTCAGTGGTAAAGGATCCGCCTGCCACTGTGGGAGACGTGAGTTTGATCCCTGGGTTGGGAAGATCCCCCAGAAAAGAAAATGGCAACCCACTCCAGTATTCTTGCCTGGGAAATCACCTGGACAGATGGGTCTGGCGGGCTACAGTCCATCGGGCTGCAAAAGAGTCGGACATGACTTGGCAACTAAACAGAACGCAGCAGGTTAATAGACATCTTGATTTTCACTGACTGCAGAGTATGTTTCCTTCCAAATGTACCATTTTAATTTAACCAAACTCTAGAGGGTTTTTAAAGATGATTTTTTACTATTACATTTTGAGCCTCTAATGAGCATATTTGGTTCATTGGGGACATTTGAGGTGTATGGGATCAGGTTTGTACCCATGGGAAAGGTTGCCAGGTGCTCCATTTGAAGGTGAGGCTCTTGTTTATTGTTTACGTGGTTGTTAAGTCTTTGTTGTATCCATGTGTGCCTGCATATCCATACCTACTTTTCATCAGTTTTATTGTGGGTTGAGAAATACTTGATAAAACAGCATTTGAAATAAGAGAAAGTAGCCCCCGGGCGGGGGCCTCCCCTGGGTGGGGGCCTCCCCTGAGCGCGGCCTCCCCCGAGCGAGGGCCTCCCCCGAGCGGGGGCCTCCCCTGAGCGGGGGCCTCCCCTGAGCAGGGCCTCCCCTGGGCGGGGGCCTCCCCTGAGCGGGGGCCTCCCCTGAGCGCGGGCCTCCCCCGGGCGGGGGCCTCCCCTGAGCGGGGGCCTCCCCTGAGCGGAGGTCTACCCTGAGCGCGGCCTCCCCGGGCGGGGGCCTCCCCTGAGCGCGGCCTCCCCCGGTCGGGGGCCTCCCCTGAGCGGGGGCCTCCCCTGAGCAGGGCCTCCCCTGGGCGGGGGCCTCCCCTGGGTGGGGGCCTCCCCTGAGCGGGGGCCTCCCCTGAGCGCGGGCCTCCCCCGGGCGGGGGCCTCCCCTGGGCGCGGCCTCCCCTGAGCGGGGGCCTCCCCTGAGCGCGGCCTCCCCTGGGCGGGGGCCTCCCCTGAGCGGGGGCCTCCCCTGGGCGGGGGCCTCCCCTGAGCGCGGCCTCCCCTGAGCGGGGGCCTCCCCTGAGCGCGGCCTCCCCTGGGCGGGGGCCTCCCCTGAGCGCGGCCTCCCCTGGGCGGGGGCCTCCCCTGAGCAGGGCCTCCCCTGAGCGGGGGCCTCCCCTGAGCGCGGCCTCCCCTGAGCGCGGCCTCCCCTGGGCGGGGGCCTCCCCTGAGCGGGGGCCTCCCCTGAGCGGGGGCCTCCCCTGGGCGGGGGCCTCCCCTGGGCGGGGGCCTCCCCTGAGCGGGGGCCTCCCCTGAGCGCGGGCCTCCCCCGGGCGGGGGCCTCCCCTGGGCGCGGCCTCCCCTGAGCGGGGGCCTCCCCTGAGCGCGGCCTCCCCTGGGCGGGGGCCTCCCCTGAGCGGGGGCCTCCCCTGGGCGGGGGCCTCCCCTGAGCGCGGCCTCCCCTGAGCGGGGGCCTCCCCTGAGCGCGGCCTCCCCTGGGCGGGGGCCTCCCCTGAGCGCGGCCTCCCCTGGGCGGGGGCCTCCCCTGGGTGGGGGCCTCCCCTGAGCGGGGGCCTCCCCTGAGCGCGGGCCTCCCCCGGGCGGGGGCCTCCCCTGAGCGCGGCCTCCCCTGAGCGGGGGCCTCCCCCGAGCGAGGGCCTCCCCCGGGCGGGGGCCTCCCCTGGGCGGGGGCCTCCCCTGAGCGGGGGCCTCCCCTGGGCGGGGGCCTCCCCTGAGCGCGGCCTCCCCTGAGCGCGGCCTCCCCTGGGCGGGGGCCTCCCCTGGGCGGGGGCCTCCCCTGAGCGCGGCCTCCCCTGGGCGGGGGCCTCCCCTGAGCGGGGGCCTCCCCTGGGCGGGGGCCTCCCCTGAGCGGGGGCCTCCCCTGGGCGGGGGCCTCCCCTGAGCGCGGCCTCCCCTGAGCGGGGGCCTCCCCTTGTTTTGAGTAGAATTCATTAATGAATATTTATTGAGTGACTAACTTGGTCCTCTTTTAGGCATTATGGTGGTTTCAAAAGTAAATTGAAAGTCTATCTGTCTTCAGAGAACTTTCTAACAAGCCTGGGGTGAGGAAAGTGGAGGGACTGCATGCAAACCAACCTCAATGAGCCCGCTGAGAACAGGACTGGAATGTTAGGGTGAGCGTGGGGACTTCCTGTTCATTGATTTGTCCCCAGCACCTAGGATTTTTTCAAACATAGAACAGTTTCTCAGTAAATAGTAAGTGAATAAGTGAATAAATGTGTTGAACCAAAAAGAAGAGAAAAAAATAATTACTTTTAAAATTGTGAGTATTGTGCTTTACACTAGGAACTCTGCGTGTATTACTTCACTTATTCACCACAACGACTTTTTATCGTAGACATTTGTATTTTTCAGATTAGAAAGTTGAGGTTGAGAGAGGTTATATAATTTACCTAAAGCCAAGCATATAGAAAATGAAAGAATGAGACCAGAGTGCACTTGAGATTTATAGTTTGAAAAGTAAACTGCACAAATATTTGTAAACTGCACAAATAAACAAATCTTACACCTATTTCTCTGTTGTATAGTTGGAAGTGAGATGTTCCTCATCTATTTATCCCCTTCCCACATACACACAAAAGTCTCTGCGGAAGAGCTGTGAGATCTTCAGAAGGAACCTATTATTCCCTCCCCAAGGTTGCCTGGATGCAGCAAATGTTAAAGAATAGCAGTGATAAATTTAGCTGAAAGTGGCCAGCAAGGGAGCCCCGAGGCTAAATGTCTGTGCCTCTTGTTTCAAGAATGCCTGTGAGATGCTGATGGATACAATTTTGGAAGAACTTCAGAAGAACCCAGCTTCTCCAGAGCAAGCATCATTGAGTGCGAGCTTACACCAGCCTCCTCCCACCGTGCAGGGCTCAGGGCTTCGGGCTGCACTCGTTATCACAGGGAAGACCCTGGAGTTCGTCCTGCAGGAGAGTCTGCAGAAGCGGTTCCTGGAGCTGACTGCTTGCTGCCAAGCTGTGGTCTGCTGCCGAGCCACGCCTCTGCAGAAGAGCGAGGTGGTAAAACTGGTGCGCAGCCGCCTCCGGGTGATGACCCTGGCCATCGGTGAGTGGAGGTGGAACCCAGCCCCATGCCTCTTCCTTCCACGCCACACCAACGGCTGATTCTTCTGTTTGTCCTTTCTTCTGTACATTCCTTTGCCCTTCTGTGGGTCTGTCCTTCTCCTCCCTTCTTTCTCGCCATCCCCCGACTCCCCCCCGTTTGCCCTCCATCAGCTATTTAGCCCCCTATTATGAATCAGGTGGTAGAGATGCGGCTTAGAAAGCAGCATCATAGGAGTCTGTGTTACGTATCAGACCCCCAGATCCCTCCATCAGCTATTTAGCCCCCTATTATGAATCAGGTGGTAGAGATGCGGCTTAGAAAGCAGCATCATAGGAGTCTGTGTTACGTATCAGACCCCCAGATCCCTCCATCAGCTGTTTAGCCCCCTATTATGAATCAGGTGGTAGAGATGCGGCTTAGAAAGCAGCATCATAGGAGTCTGTGTTACGAATCAGACCCCAGGTCACCTGGGCAGGAGGGCCATGTAGTTAAACACAGACTTGATAGTCCCTGAGTTCTACCTTCAAGAAAGTTAAACTCAGGAAAATTAACAATCCGTTCATTTATTCATTCAGCAACTGTTTATTGAGTGCCTTCTCTGTACCAGGCACTTTCCTAGGCAGGGGAGAAAGATGAGTGTACAAAACCGACAAAGTACCTTTTCTTAAGGCGCTTACATCTAGGAGGAGGGCAATGCAGTAAAAAGTGAAACAAAACAAAGAGGTATAAAGATTTAAGATGTCAGATAGTGACAAGTGCTATTGAAAAAGTTAAAGCAAAGTCAAGAGATGAAGAGCATTGGGGGAGGGGAAAGGGGTTGCTGTTTTAAATAGGTTTTTCAGAGAGAGTCTTACTGATGAGGTGGTGTGAGCAGAGACTTGAAGGAGATGATAACGCAGCCATAGGGGAATTTCTGGCAAAGAAGATGGTGAAATGTCAGGACATGGGCCATGTGCAGTGTGTCAAACCCAAAGCAAGCTGAGCAAAAGGAAGAGTCTTCTGCAGGTTGATGAAGGGCAGAAACGTGGCGGGCAGCCAGGTCAGGGGAAGTCTTGGAGGCCGTTAGGAACTTCGGCTTTTATCTGCAGAGATAGGGAGCCACAGGAGGACTTTGGGCAAGGAGGGAGGTGAGCTGCCTTAAGTTGGGAAGGGTCACACTTGCTGTGTTGGGAGTAACCGCTGGGTCACAAGGACGTAAGGAAGGCCAGTTGCGCAGCTATTGAACTGATTCAGGGAGAAGATGACTGTGGCTCAGGCCCGAGTGGGAGCAGAGGAGGTGGGGGGATGTGATCAGATAACGGGCGTGGTTTGAAGAAAGAGCTGGTGAAATTTGCTGATGGGTTGGATATGTTGAAGAATAGTAGGCATCAAGGGGGACGTCAAGGTTTATCTCTAAGAATATAAAGGACGGAGCATCCATTTACTGAGATGGAGTCAGGGGAAGCAGGGATTGGGTCTTACACACATTAAGTTTGAGAAATCCATTAGATGTCAGCAGTGATGGTAGGTAGGCAGCTGGAGATAAAGTCTGAGATTTAGCAGTAAATTTGGGAATTGTAAGTCTAGTGATGATATTTAAAGCCTTGATATTAGATAAGATCACCAAAAAACGAATATAAGTGCAGAAGAGAAACAGGGTCAGATTAAATTCTATGCCACACCAATTCCAGACATTCGCACAATGAGGACTCAGTCTCCCTTATTTTCAGTTTCAGCTAGCCTCTCCCCTCAGGATGCTGTTCTAGCCACTGAAAATTCCCACCTTTATATCTCATCCTGTTAGCAGCCTGAGAGAAATGATAGCACATGTTTTCAAGTTGCTGGCATAAAGTATCAGGATTAGGGTGGAATTCTGTTCAACTGTCCCATTGAAAGAACATATGAATGAGTGAATTGTTCAAGGCCCTGGATCCATATGTTCCTAAGGCTGGAGCCCTGGACAATTATATCACTTAAGTTGAATCATGTACGAATCTCTGAACCAATCACTGAGGCCAGGGAACAGATGATACTAATCCCCCAGGCTTGATTGAATTGCCCATCCCCAATCTGGAGATTTGGGTTCATCCTAACAAAACACATGGACTCAGAGTCCCAAGGAAAAGGTAGAATACTTCATTAGAAAACAAGTAAAGTTTGTTGGGCATTTGGGAACAACCAGTGTTCATTACCAGTGAGAATGTAATAAGACCTTTTAAGAAGCTTCCCCTGTGTTGAGACAAGGAAATCTATAGCAGCCATAATACCATGTGACAGGTTTGCTAGAGACACACTCAGTGGTACTTGAAACCTAAGGAAGGAACATCATATCTAAAAGAAAAATGACGTCTTCCCTGGGGGTCCAGTGTCTAAGAGTCCGCCTGCCAATGCAGGAGGCGCGAGTCCAGTGCCTGGCTCAGGAAGATCCCACGTGCTGGGGGCAGCTGAGCCGGGTGCTGGGGCCCATGCTCGCTGGGCCTGTCCTCCGCAGCAGGAGCAGCCCGTAGCTAGAGAGCAGCCCTTGCTTGCTGCAACTAGCGAGAGCCCACACACAGCAACAGAGACCCCGCATGGCCAGAAGTAAACAAATGAATAAGTTTTGCTTAAAAGTAAACGGAATATGAGAAGGCTTTCCCAGAGGAAGTGATATCTAAGCTGAGAGAGCAATTAAAATCTAGTGAGGTGGGGCGGGGATGAGGAGGGCAGTGTTAGAGGAACAGAGAGACAGAAGGTGCAGGGCCAGAAGCAGTAGAGTGTATCTGGAAAACTGGAAGGAGGTTGAGTGACGTAGACAATGGGAGGCTGGGCCTGGTAGAGGGTTTTCAATAGTACTAATTTGGAATTCTTCTGATGGCAATAGGATGCCACCTTGAATTCCTGCTTAGCCAGCTTCCAGGCAGCTTGGAGACATGGGATAAACCTTGAAGGATTAGTTGTTTGCTTGGGAGGCTGATACTGATTTGCAGTTTGCATCTTTTCTTTGCTCCTCATCTGCTTGTCCTCTCCTGTCTCACAAAGGTGACGGTGCCAATGATGTCAGCATGATTCAGGTGGCAGACATTGGCATTGGTATCTCTGGGCAAGAAGGCATGCAGGTGAGTAGATGTTGTACACCCAAATACCATAAACTTGACCTTCTCAGCCAAAGGCAGCCTTCTCCACAGGCATATCTCTGTGGCAGAGTGAGGCTCTCTGCCGCTAGCTCAGGAGTGAGTGACAGGGCATTTATCCATTCATTCGTTCAGGGATTCTTTACTAGGTGAGTATTATGGTATTTTCCTGGGTAATTTTAACTTACTTGTTCAGTTTTAAAAATATAACTTACCTAAATCATAAGAACATACGTTTCATCTCTGCAATAGCTATGACTTGACACTGAGAGCTACTAAAGGTTTGAATAAAAGACCTAAAGATCCTAAAGAGAGAGGGAGAAGCGGAGAGAAGATAGGAGAGAATGAGGGAAGTGTGATTCCCAGTTTTTATGTGTGCGTGTGTGTGCTTTGGATAGTGTTGTAGGCGCAAAATTCAGGAAGAGGCTTGGACAAGACTGCTTGTCATGATTGGAACAAATGCTGTCAAAAGAAAGTGGCATGTGAAGTTTAGGGTTTCCTGAGAATTGTAAATTATGATGTCTTTACAAAACATGAGAAATTCAAATACCTCCTTTGTCTGCCACGTTATTAATAGTCATGTGAAGTCATAACTGTATACTTTTATATTCTCTTCGTTGAGGAGAAGCAAATGCTCCCTAAGAGTTCTTTCTAAGGGAGCTGCTTTCCAGGGAAAGCACACTTGCTGAAATTACATCATGAATAGTAGACCAGAGAGAACTCTTGTTTCCTTGGATCATATTGGAAAGCTGAGTGGTAACTCCAGGCAACCCATTAAGGCTCTCTATGCATGGGTTTTTGCTTGTTTGGAGAGGGCTTTTTTTGCAGGGGGATGGGGCGGTCTGCATGTAAGGCTTAAACTACATATTTTAAAAAATTTCTATTTGAGTATAACTGACTTACTATGTTATGTTAGTTTCAATTTTACAGCAAAATGAATCAATTATACATATACCAAACTGCTTTTAGATTCTTTTGCCACATAGGCTATTACAGAGTATTTAGTAGAGTTCCCTGTGCTGGGCAACAGATCCTTATTAGTTACCTGTTTTATATCTAGTATGCATGTCAAGCCCTATCTCCCAGTTTGCCCCTGTCCCCTTACACCCTGGTAACCATAAACTTGTTTTCTACATCTGTGACTTTGTTTCTCTTTAGCGAATAAGTTCATTTGTACTCTTTTTTTTTAAGACTCCCACATATGCTTGATGTCTGTCTCTGTGATCTACTACACTTAAGCCACCTTTTGACCAGTCTGAGCCTGCTGGGGGTCTGCCTGCCATGCTGTCTGCTCCAACGTGCTTTGCTCAGGGTGACACTGTCTCTGTCTCTCTACAGGCTGTGATGGCCAGTGACTTTGCTGTTTCTCAGTTTAGACATCTCAGCAAGCTCCTCCTTGTCCATGGGCACTGGTGTTATACCCGTCTCTCCAACATGATTCTCTATTTTTTCTACAAGAACGTGGTATGTAGCTCCAGAGAATTCATCCTTTTCCCTGTGACCCTTCCTCCCCTGCTGCTGTAAGGGGTGAGGAGGGAGGGCCCAACGTTAAGCTTGCTTTGCGTATTGATGTTTGGGAAGCAGCCAGGATGACTCCTGCTGTCTTACTAGGAATAACCTGCTATGTTTCAGCAGCTGACAGCAAATTGCTAGGCTTGTGCATCTGCTAGCATTTTCTATTCCCTATGCATTTAAATTCAATTAAACCCTGTCTGATTCATTTAGAATCCAGTTTTTGACCTTCTGTAAAATGATTGTGACAAGTAGAATTATGAAATGTTTAATGCTGTCTGTCAGTAGAGGATCCAAAGGTTTGCTTCCATTTTACAGGAGATTAAAAAAAAATCTCCTGTCTCTAATGGATGGCCCATGTGGTATATTGAAGATGCAGATACAAATGAAATCCTAGGATAGTGCCTTAGCCTATAGAGCTGGCTAGTACCACTAGATAAAGAATTCTATGGCAAGCCTATAAAATGTGTTTGTATTTGATAGCTGTAATTCTGAAAAGGGCAGAGTTTGATTAGTAAGCATCTTGGCTTTTAATCTTCAACTTATCGTTTAAATTTCAGTTTCCTCTTTTATAAACCCATGTTGTCCTTAGGTTGCTTCACCTAAATCCCTTCTTAGTGGGATGATTAGGTAAATATGTCATGATTTTCAATGAAATTTATTCTTGGTCTTTTGAGTCCATATGTAGCAAGTTGGTAGTAAACAAAAATTTACATCAATACTGAAATACCATTTTTAGGGAAAAGATGACTTAGGGTCATTTTTAGATCTGTGCACGTATGTGTCTGTCTATCAGCAGCAGGAACATTTTTTTTCTTCTAGCGCAGTGAACTTTTCAGGAAGCTCTCAGTACTTTACTGTTAGAATCAACACACTTAGTCACCAGAGCACATCATGCACAATGCCCGGCTGGATGAAGCACAAGTGGAACCCAGATTGCTGGCAGAAATATCAATAACCTCAGATATGCAGATGGCACCACCCTTATGGCAGAAAGTGAAGAAGAACTAAAGAGCCTCTTGATGAAACTGAAAGAGAGTCAAAAAGTTGACTTAAAGCTCACCATTCAGAAAACTAAGATCATGGCATCCAGTCCCATCACTTCATGGCAAATAGATGGGGAAACAGTGGACACAGTGACAGACTCTTTTCTTGGGCTGCAAAATCACTGCAGATGGTGATTGCAGCCATGAAATTAAAAAGACACTTGCTGCTTGGAAGGAAAGCTATGACCAAACTAGATAGCATATTAAAAAGCAGAGACATTACTTTACCAACAAAGTTCCATCTAGTCAGCTATGGCTTTTCCAGTAGTTGTGTATGGATGTGAGAATTGGACTATAAAGAAAGTTGAGCACTGAAGAATTGATGCTTTTGAACTGTGGTGTTGGAGAAGACTCTTGAGAGTCCCTTGTACTGCAAGAAGATCCAACCAGTCCATCCTAAAGGAGATCAGTCCTGAATATTCATTGGAAGGACTGATGCTGAAGCTGAAACTCCAGTACTTCAGCCATCTGATGCAAAGAGCTGACTCATTTAAAAAGACTCTGATGCTGGGAAATATTTAATGCAGGAGGAGAAGGGGACACCTGAAGATAAGATAGTTGGATGGCATCACCAACTCGACGGACATGAGTTTGAGCAAACTCTGGGAGCTGGTGATGGACAGGGAAGCCTGGTGTGCTGCAGTCCATGGGGTCACAGAGTCAGACATGACTGAGTGACTGAACTGAGCTGAACACTTAGTCAAAGTTTTAATAAAAAACTTTACAAAAATATTTGAAATGCATAATGTCTCTGCCTGAGTGTTGACTCTGGGTTAGGCTGTGATCTGTAATGTAAAATTCCAGGACTCAGTGGTCTGTGACTTTAAGAAAGGAGCCCCTCTCCTAGGCTTCATTTTCATATCTTTGCATTTTTCTACTTCTATTAATATTATAATGCCCTGGTGGTTCAGTGGTGAAAAATCCACCTGCAATGTAGGAGACACAAGTTTGATCCCTGGGTCAGTAAGATCCCCTGAAGAAGGAATTGGGAAGCCCACTCCAGTATTCTTGCCAGGATAATCCCAGAGGAGGAAGGGCCTGGTGGGTTACACTCCAGGGTTAACAAAGAGTCAGACACAACTTGGCAACTAAACAAACAGCAACAGTTATGATGTAGCCCACTTCACCACTCCCTCCTTTTAACTCCATATTTCTAGCTAACATTAGAAAGGGATGCCACTTGCTCTTGGAGAGAGAGAATGTTTATTTGTAGAAAGTGCATTACCAGGAAACAGGGACCCCACGGTCTTTCAGCTCTGTAAACCTTGATGGCTGTTCACACTGAAATCCTCCCAACTTGTTTCTGCTGCTTTCTTGCCTAGCTGAACAGGGAATGGTTTGTAAACTATGGAGAATAGGGCCAGTATCAGAAGCCATTTGAGCAGCTTAGCTTTCTGAGACTGTGGTTTTTTCATCTTGAATCAATTTTGAGATAGTAATAAAAGCTATGGATTCAGTCCCCAATTAGCACCCCAAACTGCACATACCCTAAACTGCTATGTTTTCAGGAGCAAGGCCTGATAAATATCCATGGACGCTAGGCTAAGAAACTTATGTTCTAAGGATTGTGGCCCCCATCCTATAGTGTTCCAGGGTATCTATGGTGCCAATAATAATAATATCTTAATTAATTAATGTTGATTAAAAGGCACTTTATTCTTGCTTGAGAACCCCAAGAACATATGAAAAGGCCAGTAAAAGATGAACTCCCCAGGTTGGTAGGTGCCCAGTATGCTATTGGAGATCAGTGGAGAAATAACTCCAGAAAGAATGAAGGGATGGAGTGAAAGCAAAAACAACACCCAGTTGAGGATGTGACTGGTGATAGAAGCAAGGTTCGATGCTGTAAAGAGCAATATTGCATAGGAACCTGGAATGTTAGGTCCATGAAATCAAGACAAACTGGAAGTGGTCAAACAGGAGATGACAAGAGTGAACATTGACATTCTAGGAGTCAGTGAACTAAAATGGACTGGAATGGGTGAATTTAACTCAGATGACCGTTATATCTACTACTGTGGGCAGGCATCCCTTAGAAGAAATGGAGTAGTCATCATAGTCAACAAAAGAGTCTGAAAGGCAGTACTTGGATGCAATCTCAAAAATGAGAGAATGATCTCTGTTCGTTCCCAAGGCAAACCACTCAATATTGCAGTAATCCAAGTCTGTGCCCCAACCAGTAACGCTGAAGAAGCTGAAGTTGAACAGTTCTATGAAGACCTACAAGACCTTTTAGAACTAACACCCCAAAAAGATGTCCTTTTCACTAAAGGGGACTGGGATGCAAAAGTAGGAAGTCAAGAAGCACCTGGAGTAGCAGGCAAATTTGGCCTTGGAGTACAGAATGAAGTGCAGGGCAAAGGCTAACAGAGTTTTGCCAAGAGAACCCACTGGTCATGGCAAACACCCTCTTCCAACAACACAAGAGAAGACTCTACACATGGACATCAGCAGACAGCCAACACCGAAATCAGATTGATTATGTTCTTTGCAGCCAAAGATGAAGAAGCGCTATTCAGTTCAGTCGCTCAAACGTGTCCAATCTTTGCGACCCCATGAACCGCAGCACGCCAGGGCTCCCTGTCCATCACCAATTGCCAGAGTTTACCCAAACCCATGTCCACTGAGTCGGTGATGCCATCCAGCCATCTCATCCTCTGTCGTCCCCTTCTCCTCCTGCCCTCAGTCTTTCCCAGCATCAAGATCTTTTCAAATGAGTCAGCTCTTCACATCAGGTGACCAAAGTATTGGAGTTTCAGCTTCAGCATCAGTCCTTCCAATGAACACCCAGATCTGATCTACTTGACGATGCACTGGTTGGATCTCCATGCAGTCCAAGGGACTCTCAAGAGTCTTCTCCAACACCACACTTCAAAAGCATCAATTCTTCGGCGCTCAGCTTTATTTACAGTCCAAGTCTCACATCCATACATGACCCCTGGAAAACCATAGCCTTGACTAAACAGACCTTTGTTGGCAAAGTAATGTCCCTGCTTTTTAATATGCTGTTTAGGTTGGTCATAACTTTCCTTCCAAGGAGTAAGCGTCTTTTAATTTCATGGCTGCAATCACCATCTGCAGTGATTTTGCAGCCCAAAAAAATAAAGTCTGACACTGTTTTCACTGTTTCCCCATCTATTTGCCATGAAGTGATGGGACTGGATGCCATGATCTTAGTTTTCTGAATGTTGAGCTTTAAGCCAACTTTTTGACTCTCCTCTTTCACCTTTATCAAGAGGCTCTTTAGTTCTTCTTCCCTTTCTGCCATAAGGGTGGTGTCATCTGCATATCTGAGGTTATTGATATTTCTCTCGGCAATCTGGATTCCAGCCTGTGCTTCCTCGAGCCCAGCGTTTCTCATGATGTACTCTGCATATAAGTTAAATAAGCAGGGTGACAATGTACAGCCTTGACATACTCCTTTTCCTATTTGGAACTAGTCTGTTGTTCCATGTCCAGTTCTAACTGGTGCTTCCTGACCTGCATACAGGTTTCTCAAGAGGCAGGTCAGGTGGTCTGGTATTCCCATCCCTTTCAGAATTTTCCACAGTTTGTTGTGATCCACACAGTCAAAGGCTTTGGTGTAGTGAGTAAAGCAGAAATAGATGTTTTTCTGGAACTCCCTTGCTTTTTCGATGATCCAGCAGATGTTGGCAGTTTGATCTCTGGTTCCTCTGCTTTTTCTAAAACCAGCTTGAATGTCTGGAAGTTCACGAGATAGAGAAGCTCTATACAGCCAGCAAAAATAAGACTGGGAGCTGACTGTGGCTCAGATATTGCCGAATTCAGACTTAAATTGACCTGCCTCTTGAGAAATCTGTATACAGGTCAGGAAGCAACAGTTAGAACTGGACATGGAACAACAGACTGGTTCCAAATAGGAAAAGGAGTACGTCAAGGCTGTATATTGTCACCCTGCTTATTTAACTTATATGCAGAGTACATCATGAGAAACGCTGGGCTGGAAGAAGCACAAAGTGGAATCAAGATTGCAGGGAGAAATAACAATTACCTCACATATGCAGATGACTCCACCCTTATGGGGTGGGGAAAACCACTAGACCACTAGACCATTCAGGTATGACCTAAATCAAATCCCTTATGATTATACAGTGGAAGGGAGAAATAGATTTAAGGGACTAGATCTTTTAAACAGAGTGCCTGATGAACTATGGACGGAGGTTTGTGACATTGTACAGGAGACAGGGAGCAAGACCATCCCCAAGAAAAAGAAATGCAAAAAAGCAAAATGGCTTTCTGAGGAGACCTTACAAATAACTGTGAAAAGAAGAGAAGCGAAAAGCAAAGGAGAAAAGGAAAGATATACCCATTTGAATGCAGAGTTCCAAAGATTAGCAAGGAGAGATCAGAAAGCCTTCCTCAGTGATCAATGCAAAGAAATAGAGGAAAACAACAGAATGGGAAAGACTAGAGATCTTTTCAAGAAAATTAGAGATACCAAGAGAACATTTCATGCAAAGGTGGGCTCAATAAAGGGCAGAAATGGTATGGACCTAACAGAAGCAGAAGATATTAAGAAGAGGTGGCAAGAATACACAGAAGAACTGTACAAAAAAGATCTTCACAACCCAGATAATTACGACAGTGTGATCACTCATCTAGAGCCAGACATCCTGGAATGTGAAGTCAAGCGGGCTTTAGGAAACATCATTACGAACGAAGCTAGCGGAGGTGATATTATCCCAGCTGAGCTATTTCACATCCTAAAAGACGATGCTGTGAAAGTGCTTCACTCAATATGTCAGCAAATTTGGAAAACTCAGCAGTGATCACAGGACTGGAAAAGGTCAGTTTTCATTCCAGTCCCAAAGAAAGGCAATGGCAAAGAATGTTCAAACTACTGCACAAATGCACTCATCTCACATGCTAGTAAAGTAACGCTTAAAATTCTCCAAGCCAGGCTTCAGCAATATGTGAACCATGAACTTCCAGATGTTCAAGCTGGATTTAGAAAAGGCAGAGGAACCAGATCAAGTCGCCAACATCCACTGGATCATCAAAAAAGCAAGAGAGTTCCAGAAAAACATCTGTTTCTGCTTTATTGACTATGCCAAAGTCTTTGACTGTCTGGATCACAATAAACTGTGGAAAATTCTGAAAGAGATGGGAATACCAGACCACCTGACCTGCCTCTTGAGAAACCTGTATGCAGGTCAGGAAGCAACAATTAGAACTGGACATGGAACAACAGACTAGTTCCAAATAGGAAAAGGAGTATGTCAAGGCTGTACATTGTCACCCTGCTTATTTAACTTATATGCAGAGTACATCGTGAGAAACACTGAGCTGGAAGAAGCACAAGCTAGAATCAAGATTGCCGGGAGAAATATCAATAACCTCAGATATGCAGATGACACCACCCTTATGGCAGAAAGGGAAGAAGAACTAAAGAGCCTCTTGATAAAGGTGAAAGAGGAGAGTCAAAAAGTTGGCTTAAAGCTCAACATTTCAGAAAACTAAGATCATGGCATCCAGTCCCATCACTTCATGGCAAATAGATGGGGACACAGTGGAAACAGTGTCAGACTTTATTTTTTTGGGCTGCAAAATCACTGCAGATGGTGATTGCAGCCATGAAATTAAAAGACGCTTACTCCTTGGAAGGAAAGTTGTGACCAACCTAGACAGCATATTAAAAAGCAGGGATATTACTTTGCCAACAAAGGTCCGTCTAGGCAAGGCTATGTATTTTCCAAGGGTCATGTATGGATGTGAGATTTGAACTATAAATAAAGCTGAGCACCGAAGAATTGATGCTTTTGAAGTGTGGTGTTGGAGAAGACTCTTGAGAGTCCCTTGGATTGCAAGTAGATCCAACCAGTCCATCCTAAAGGAGATCAGTCCTGGGTGTTCATTGGAAGGACTGATGCTGAAGCTGAAACTCCAATACTTTGGTCACCTGATGCGAAGAGCTGAGTCATTGGAAAAGACCCTGATGCTGGGAAAGATTGAGGGCAGGAGGAGAAGGGGATGACAGAGGATGAGATGGCAGGATGGCATCACCAACTTAATGGACATAGGTTTGGGTGGACTTGGTAGTTGGTGATAGACAGGGAGCCCTGGCGTGCTGCGGTTCATGGGGTCGCAAAGAGTCAGACATGACTGAGGGACTGAAGTAGACTCAAAAGTCACTTTATAGTTCATGGGCAGTTTCTAACTTGATCTTGATTTTAAGACCTGATGTGGGATAATTCTCATTTTCCAGATAGATAAACCAAAATGTATAGAGGTTTTTAGGTTATGACCTAAAATCATATAGAAAGTGTCCCCTGGGACTTGAAAGAAGACCCCCTAAATCTGAGTTGAATGACCTTTCCTGTGTCCTACATTGCTTCAGGGCACAAAGCTTTTGCTATTGCAGACTTAGTGCACATGAGGCAAAGTACTGATACCATGTACAATGTATGTGCTTGGCCTCTAGGATGACCACCTGTCCTGGTTTGCCTGGGTCTGCCCCAGTTTAAGTCGTAAGAGTACCATATCCTGAGAAACTCCTGTCTCAAGCAAACCGGGATGGTTGCCCACCCACTGGCACCATCCCACTTCACCACCAAAAAAATAATCGAGAACTGAAAGCAAGTGAATGAACATTTGGCTTCTACTTACCAGCTGCTATCAGCATGGGTCCAGCTTCTCTTTATCTGGAGCTGAAATGTCTCCATTTGAATCCTGGCTCTGCCACTTATTTGCCAGGTAACTTTAGGCAAGTTTCTTAGCCTCCCCATGCCTCACTTTCCTCATCCACGTTGTTACGAAAATTAAATGAACGATTTATAAAGCTCTTAGAACCGTGAGTGCCAGCACCACATAGTAAACTGTATGTGTGTGTGTGTTTTAATAAAACATTTACCAAAATAAAAGGTGTGAGGTCAGCTGTGGTTCTACATTCTGTCAGCAAAGAAACTGTTCTGGGAGGCTGAGATCACACCGCTCTGATCAGCCCTGGGCGGCATGTGTGGTCATGGCTCTCATAGCAGACTCTTTCTCTTTGTGTCCCTAGGCCTATGTGAACCTCCTTTTCTGGTACCAGTTCTTTTGTGGGTTTTCAGGAACATCCATGACTGACTACTGGGTCTTGATCTTCTTCAACCTCCTTTTCACATCTGCACCTCCGGTCATTTATGGAGTCCTAGAGAAAGATGTGTCTGCAGAGACCCTCATGCAGCTGCCCGATCTCTACAGGAGTGGCCAGAGGTCAGAGGTGGGTGCTCCAGCAGAAACGTGCACACCGATAAGCAGCCGTCGTCACAGTCACACATCTTCCAGGGTGCTTGGCTCAAATACTCTGGTGTGTTGCAATGTGTCTGAATCATCTGTGTGTGTTTCCAGAGATCTCTCCTAACACAGCAGACATTAAGTTACTCATTTCTGAAAGAAAACAAATAAAACTATGAAAGACCTCAGGTGCTTCTAAGAAGAAATCCAGTCTTCAGACCTTACAAATAACATTATCTAGTTATTTCCTAAATCCCCAGCACCTTCTGCTGGGCAGACTACGAATTATTCGCAGTCCCATTTATCTTAGACAAAGCACTTTGAGAGAGGACCTGGTGTTGTTTCCATTCTGAGATGAAGAATCTGAACTTCAAAGGGGCTGAGGAATTCTTCCAGAAATCTCATAGCTTTTTTTTTTTTTTTTTTTTAAAGCAGAACTGGGATGGGAACCCTTCTTAGTCTGGTTCTAAAGCCAAAATTAAATTCTTCAGGTTTTACTGTCATGCGAAAGAGTGGTATGATCTTACCGCCTCCCTCTCCCTAAACCCATGTCCACCTTCCACTTAATTAATCTCTCAGTCCTGTCCGCCCACCTCCGATATATCCCTTATATCTGTCCCCTCTCCATCCTTCTCTCTGCCCTCATTACCTCTTACCCATAATATCATAGTCACCAATTAGTTGAGCTAGTTGTCTCAAAACTCTTCTCTTTTGTCTAGTTCATCTTTTACAAAATTAATAACTATTTTTGAGATAGCCTTATGAACATTATGTAATGCCTCTTATATGCCAGGCACATATATATATATATATGTGTGTGTGTGTGTGTGTGTGTGTGCACACATTCATTTATGTATGTAAACTGGTTAACATACCTAAATGTAATTCTCAAAATGACCCTTCAGGATAGATGCTATCGTTAGCCACTCTGTAGATGAGGAAAGTCAGGCACAGGGAGGTATCTTAAGTAGCCCACCCCATCACCGAGCTTGTGGGTGGTGCAGATGAGCCCCACTTCCCAAGCCTCTGCTGTGTTGCCGAGAGAACGCTGATGCTATCTTCAGTCCTTGGGTGCTCCCAACCCCTTTGCTATTTAATGGCCAGAAATCCGAAGTGCCCTCATAAGTGCTTAGGATCACAGCGACTGAGGTGGACCAGCAACCTATAGATACCTATAAATGGACAACGCTGAGGGCTTAGTCTGGGAAGATATTGTAGCCTTAAGAAGAAGTCTGTGTTAGTCAGGACTCTTTAGTTTCAGGTGACAGAAAACCAGCTCAAATTGGCTTGATGAAAAAGGGAAATATATTGGCCCCATAGCTGCAAAATCCAGGACTAATGGTGACATCTTTTTTAAAAAAGATGTTGTTCTTTTTTAAATTTAATTTTTATTTTGTACTGGAGTGTGGTTGATTTACAGTGTTGTGTAAGACACCGTTATCCTTAAATCAGCTGTAAGTGTGCTGGTTGTGACTCCTTGGCTCAGCTGACAGTGACAGGGTTAGTCGCTCAGTCGTGTCCAACTCTCTGCAGCCCCATGGACTGTAGCCCGCCAGGGTCCTCTGCCATGGGGTTCTCCAGGCAAGAACACTGAAGGGCTTGCCATTCTCTTCTCTAGTGGATCCTCCCGACCCAGGCAACGAACTCGGGTCTTGTGCGTTGGGATTTGAGTCCCATGCTTTTCCCTGTGTGTACTGCTGTGACTAGAAAGATCGTTTTCTCACCAACCAGGCCTGGGATGTGGGTCTTTCCTGACGACAGAGCTTAACCACATGGACAGGGTTGGGAAGGAAGGTTTCCTGTCAAAGGGCTGTAGAAATGAAAATGAGACCCATGGTAAGAAATTCATGCATTGGGTTTCACTGGACTCACTATTCTGAAGACACTGACCCAGAACAGCACATGTTACAAATGATGGGTGATGCTTAGCCTGAGTTTACATTCTGGCTCAGTGGTATGTGACCTTGGTAAGTTATGTTACTTGCCTGTACTCCAGTTTGTTTATTTATGGAGATTATGTGAAGATTAAGTAAGATAATATGTATAAAATTCCAGCCATATTACACTCTCAATGTTGTTTTTATCCCACCCCTAGACTTAACTAGAAATTTGAGGAAATCCTAAATATAAAATGTTTTATTTTTGTCAATCCAACTTTCTTCTGGGTTGAACTGCCTTTCCAGACTGGAGAGTAAGTTAATGTCCTTAGGCTCATGGGTATGGGCTTCCCTGATTGCTCAGTTGGTAGAGAATCCACCTGCAATGCAGGAGACCCTGGTTCAATTCCAGGGTCAGGAAGATCAGCTAGAGAAGGGATAGGCTACCCTCTCCAGTATTCTTGGGCTTCCCTTGTGGCTCAGCTGGTAAAGAATCCACCTGCAATACGGGAGACCTGTGTTCGATCCCTGGGTTGGGAAGATCCCCTGGAGAAGGGAAAGGCTCATGGGGCAGTCAATGCAATAAGAAGTCAGCTTCCAGGGAGGAGGAAATCCTTACAATTCTTCAGTTTCATCCAGTTCATTTCGATCAAAGAACCAAATGGGATATTCTAAAAAAAGTCTAATCTGACTTAAGGTTCAAGGTCAGGGGTGCAGAAATGTGTGGCTGATAGTAATGAAGTTGTCCTGCACCCCAGGTCTAAGTTAAATTCCAAGTCTGTTGAGGAAAGAAGGATAGAAGGGAGACGGTTTACGTTTTTATAACTGGTGTTTCAGAAGCCCATTTGTACAGCCTGAAGATTGTAATTGGTCTTTACCCTGGAAGAGTTGAGGTCATTGTTTCCTGTTGTTGAGCCCTGCTATCAATTCTGTGCACACATTGTTCTATTGAGCCGGCCAGTTTTGTAATACATGGTGATTGCAGGCAGTGTCCCAGCATGTGGCTATTGATAAAAAGTAATTGATTTCATTGATTTACCTTCCGGAAGAGTTGTCCTTTCTGTGAACTTGGCCTCCAAACAAATTCTGTTTTATGTTTGGGCCATTTCCTGTCTTTGGTGTCATGAAAGATAACTTTCCAGGCTTATAGCATCTCTCTCCTTGAAAGGAGATGGGTCTGGAAGGCCGCAGTGAGAGGTGTCCCTTCCAAACAGCCATCATCTATTACCATCTTTCTTCACCCACACAGTCTTCTGGCTTTAGCTTCATGTGGATTTTTGCCTCTCAGTTTCCAGGGATCTCATGAGTTACTCCTTTCAGCCTCTCATTTGTCTTATCCTTGACACTTCCTACCCCAAAGTCACCTAATTCACATGACCGTGAAGAAAGTGTACTTGTTACCTTTTGGCTCTAGGTGTTCTGAGCAGCCTCCGTTCCCCTAGGAGCATGGAGCTGTATTTCAGCTTATCCCGGCATTGTTCTATCTTGTGCAGTGACATTTTGGTGGCCCTTTTGACTCTGCTACATTCTTTTCCACCATTTGGTTGTGCTTAGTCTATGGACACTCGAAGAAAGGCAGGTAGAAGATTCCATCACTCCAGTGAGAAAACTGTAACAGAAGGTGCAGGGAAAAGTAGACCGGAAACCATGACTCTTCATCACTTTGATTTTTCCAGAGGACAAAGAGATTGAAAAACAAAAGAAAAAAGATAGATGCCTCAAACTTCTTTTGAGGGCTGGAAGAATGTATATGGAGATTTCGAACATTTATAAAGCTTTAGAAGACAGATACCCATTTTGAAGAAAATTTCAGCCTCTTTTTTCATTTTAAAGGAAATAAGACTATAAACATGTTAAGAAAAGGAAAAAGTAGCTCAAGGATATGATACGTGTGTTGTTGTCATTTTTGTCTGTGGCAGACGTCACTAATAAACCATAGCCCTCCATCCTTCCTGTCAGGTCTGAATGGAACCTCAGAATCCTTCTGCACACACAGTATTATTTGTTCAGAATTATCTTCTATTTGAAAACCTGTTTTCAATCGGTTGACTGGTATCTATACTTGATCTTTCTCTTTCTGCAGGCTTTTGGTAGGAAGCAGTTTAGCACATGAAAAGTTAGGTAAGAATAGTTTATTAATCCAAGAAATAATCGTTGGGTACTTGCTGTATGCCAGGCACTGCTTTAATCACTTGAATAAAAGAATCTAGGTCCCACTTTATGAAGCTTGCATTCTGTTGAGAGAAACAGGAAATGATTAGGTAAACAAGATGATTTCCGATTATGATGAAAGACTTCTGAGGATCCCTGGTATTAATAGTAAATGATAAGTGGACATAGCTTTCAGATTGGTCTGAGGTCTCTGCCGCTGCGAGGAGTGACATCTGAGCTAGGATATGAGCAATGAGGAGCTGGTTGTGTAGGAGGTCTAGCAAGAATTCCTAGCAGAGATAACAGCGCAGGAAAAGCCCTGAGGAAAGAAGGGACTCGGCGTATTTGAGAAACAGATGCAGTCTGCGTGTTGGGAGGATGTGGATGATTAGACCAGGCGGGGGTGACCCTGGAGAGCAGGGATTTCAGTGAGAAGACCACACAGGACCTCCTAGGTCACGCGAAGGGACTAAGATTGGTCCAATGATAGAAGCAGTACAAGTTGAGGAGTTCCTTCAGGTTTTTTTTTCACCTGTGAACTCATTTTATGCAATTATCATCCCCTTATTTCACTATTAGTTACAGATCTGACCTGTTCATGAATGAGAGACTGAAGGAACAGCGTTTTCTCTCAGAGAAGCAAAAGCAAGCAGTGGCTGGTGGAGGTCCTTGATTTCGCTTTGACCCTTATTAATCTTTCTCCCCTCCCCAATGTCTGTTTTGTTTTCAGGCATACTTGCCCCTCACCTTCGGGATTACTTTGCTGGATGCCTTTTATCAAAGCCTGGCCTGCTTCTTTGTGCCTTACTATGTGAGTCCTTGTTAACTCGGAGGGTTTGTTGTTAATAACTGGTGCCCTTTGTTCTCTGTCACTGCTGTCAGCACTCAGAATAGGTATATGAGGGTAGACTGCTCATGTAATTAAGTTATTAACTGACTAAATATAATGCTTCTCTCAAATATGGTAGGGTAGCAGGTTAAATTTGGAGAGAAGTGCCTAGATGGTAGATAACGGGTTAAATCTGAAGAGAAGTGCCTAGCTGAATCCTTTTGGTTCTCTTTGTTGCCCTGTACTGCTTGATAATTTTCATCGATGACTTGAATAAAGTTGAAAGCCTGGCTTATAATTAGATGACTCAAAATCAGAGAGGCAAAGTCAGAATATGAAAGCTATTATTAGTCAGTGCCGGACTAATTCTACCAGGATGTCATTCAGACTATTAAATTTAAGTAGTATCCCCCAAACTTTAAAACAAAAAACAAAAAAACACCTAGTTATGCAGGTAAAAAATGGAAAAATATGACTAAATGAAGAATTAATAAAATTAATTTAAAAAATGTAGACCAACACCAAGCAGCATGATACAGTTGCCCATTCACCCACCTCCCTCCCCAGAAGAAAATGCTAATTTGATCATGGATGGTTAACAAAAGTTCATTAACAAAAAGGGAAAAGGTAATAGTCTTTAAGTTAACAATTATCATTCTTCATTCAAATAAAACTACTTGAATTTTCCTACCTAGAATAATCAAGGTATACTGCATTTCAAGAGGAATATAGGTAAGGCAATCTAAAGTATATTTAGAAAAGAATGACGAATTGTAAAATATCAGAAAACTGCGTCATGTGAGGAGTACTTTAAGGACTTGAAGACATAAGCATATGAGAGGGGTGGATATTTACTTAACCATGATAAAAACTCAAGTTAGCCAGAGTATCTGCTTCAGAGGTTTGCAGCTCTGTTAAGTGGAACATGTTTGAAATTTCTCTATATTTCAAAGAATCAGAAGCATAAGTAAGAGAGTCAAGGAAGATGAACTAAGATTCAGAATGTAAAAAATAATTCCAGCTGAAAAATCCAAAGATTAGACGGCTTGTCTGGGATTCAGTCCCTTTTTCTAAAAAAGTTCAAGTGCATCCTAAATGACCGGTTATTAGGAACACTGAAGAAAGGGACTCGGTCCTCGTTTGGGCCATGGGATAAAGTGACAGTAGAGCAGAGTGTGCACAGCTCTCCAAGAGCACCAACTTTTGTCCTCTCTTTGTAGGCCTACCAGGGCTCAGACATTGACATCGTTACGTTTGGAAACCCCCTGAACACAGCTGCTCTCTTCATCATTCTCCTCCATCTGGTGATAGAAAGCAAGAGTTTGGTGAGTGGTTTTCCTGCCTCTGAAGTAGCCTGAAGCTGTCGTTGGGAAATGTCTTCAGGCCTAGAAAACCAATGGTAATGAGAAGAGTGATGACTCCCAGGAAGAAGGGTAGCCCACAGCCACTCTCGTGGATTGTTGAGTGCTGTTATGCTGAGGATCGTGTGCAGCCGGGAGGCGTGGGGAACACCGACCTGGCCCCCTTGGTGGTACTCATGGTGTGAATGGCTCATGGCGTGAGTCAGGCTGGAGGAATAATTACCCGCGTTGGCCAGCGTTCTTCAAGACCAAGCTGGTGCCTTTCAGCTGAGATGGAAACAGGTGTTGTGCCTAAATCTTGGTATAGTGACTTTTCTAAGTGATGATTTTATGCTTTTCTCATAAACAAACAAACATTTTTTTCTCCCTCCAAAAGTTCTACCATTCATTTCATTTATATCTAGGTCTTTTTGAACTTAGTTGCCAACTTAATGATCAAGTTAAGTCTTTTCTTCAAAATGATTGCATGATAGCTGTGAAACAAAGCTAGTATGGAATCTGCCTTTGATTATTTACGCCGCTCACTCACTTCCATTGTCATTGTCTCTGCTGTCATCAAAGCCTTTGTCATTTCTTCCTGAATTATAGCTACGACCTCCTTGGTCTTCTCACCTTGACTCTTGTCTCTGCTGGCCCTTCTCTACAAAGCAACCAAAATCATCCTTTGGAAATATAAATCGTACCTTTTTGCCGTCCTTTGGGTAAAACCCTTCAGTGGCTTCCGATTTTACTTGGGATAAAATCTAAAAGCTCTGAGATGGCCCATCAGGCTTCATGCAGCCACACCGCCTCTGCTGTCTGCAATGTCATTTCCGCTTATTTGTGGACTAGCAGCACACTGTCCCTCCTTTTCTCAGGTACAATGAGCTCATTAGCACATCAGGGTCTTAGCATTGACCATCTCTTCTGATGGGAGCACCCCTTGTTTACTTTTGGATTCCTGCACTTTGCCCAGATCAAAAGTTTTTGTTTCTTTGTGGTTTTTTTTTTTTTTTTTGGTTTCAGCAAAAATGCTGCTTCTCTCAAGAACCCTTTCCTAGCCACCCATTTTCTCCTATCATCCTCTTACTTTATTCATAATGCTAATACTAATTTACAGTTCCTTCATTTAATTATGTGATTATACTATTCATGTTTCTCTTCTACTTTAGACTGTAATCTTCTTGGGGGCAGAATTTATGTTTTGTTCACCATTGTATACCAGTATCTAGGACAAGGCTGGCACACAGTAGGTGCTCAAAAAAATATTTGAATGAATAAATGAATAATTAAATAACCAGTGTTTGGGGTGATTTAACATCTTACTGGTGATGCATTTTATACAGGAAATAACTGGGTGAAGTTACAGTTTTATTTTTTTTTTTTTAAAACATTCTGAGCTCAGATCAAGTGTAGAAACCTTCATAGTTATAAAGGTCTGTAGTAAAAACTTTAAATCATTGCTCAGAACGGATCAGCTTTTCCTATACACACACTCCCAGCCAGCTCTCACCCACCCATCAGTTAAGTCCTCAGTTATCTACTGTCACTTTCACAAATATGCATGTGTGCCCGTGTGCGCGCACGCGCACACACACACACCCCCTTTATTTTAAATTACCCTTTGCTTCTCAGAACTAGAAAGATCATGCATCAGGTAGACTAAGGGGTCTTTCCTGATGCTCAGATTAGGCTATTTTCATCATTGATCCACTTCAGGAAGAGCAGATCTCAGAGAAGAAGTTACAGTTTTAAATGATATACGAGGTTATATCATGAGATTATAATTTTTAGATAGGGCTGAATATTTTTGGCATCACATGCTTTGCTTATAGCCTTCTGTAACCAAACTTTAAAGCCTAAAGTGTTATAAAAAGTTAATATCTGCAGACACCACATGGGAAGCGTAAAGGGAATTCTAGAACTAAAGTATTTGAGACTATTTTAGCATCTATTTAATTTCATTTTTAAACTCTTATGTATGTAGGTAGTTTTGGCTACTGCCTAAGGAAGTGTCATAAGTTCTGACATCCAGAGCTGTTGCAAAGATGCTAATGTGTCAGATGTCACTTTGGGTTCAGTGGTAATGAGCAACAGCAATCTATTTTAGCTAACCTGAGCAGATAGAAAAGTTATTAAAAATATACTGAAGCATCATAGTAAAACAAACAAAAAGATGTCCTGAGGATTCAGAGTGGCTCCAGAGACCCAGGGAACAGAAAGCAATGGCTAAGCTGCTCAGGGTGGCACTGCAGTCTGGACTGGTCCCAGTCATTGTCTCTCTACTCTTGCCTTATTCATTATGCTCCAAGTTCAGTCCCTGGTGACAGAATTCTATTTCCTTAGCTCCAGTCACAGGCTTTGGCGAAAGAGGAATGTTTTGTCAAAATTGCACACAATTCTGGGAGTCTTCACTAAGAGAAGGGGAGCGAAAGCAAGGTGCCAAGAAAAATGAGTACTGTATAAAGAATGCATCATTAAAGAATTGTTTCTCACACTGCAGGGGGGATAGAGCGCATGGCCTCTGGAGGCCTGTTGTCAGTAGCAGTCACTCTGAGAATGTGAATCGGTCTCCATCACCTTTCACTCTCCATCTCACTGTCACTTTTCTTCCTTCCCTGTTGGTGTTTACCCAGAATCCCTTGACTTTAACTGCATCCATTTATTTGAACAGGTCACCTCCATCAAGTCACTTCTCACTTGCTAAAAGTACTTCTTAAAAGCAAAAAGAAAACCCTGGCAGTAGGGCTCAGTGAGAAGGAAGAACATTTGAGAAAGAAAAAAATGATTGTCTTCGGAGGCATAAAGATCTTTCTTTTTAACCAGAGAAGCCCTAGTTGCTTTCCACTGCTGCACAACAAAGTGACTCAGCTATGAGAGTGAAGGTGTTAGTCACTCAGTCACGTCCTGCTCTTTGCAGCCCCATGGACCATAGCCTGCTAGGCTCCTCTGTCCGTGGAGTTTCCCAGGCAAGAATACTGGAGTGGGTAGTCATTCCATCCTCCAGGGGATCTTCCCAACCCAGGGATCAATCCTGGATCTATGTTTATACATATGTCCCCTCCCTCTTGGAGCTTCCGCCCATCCCAACCCTCTGGGTCACCACGAGCACCAAGCTGAACTCCCCATGCCATGCAGCAGCCTCCCACGCGCCAGCAGTTTTGCATATGGCCCTGCTCATGTGTCAGTCCCAGTCTCCCAGTGAACCCCCCTCCCCGTGTCTGCATGTCCATTCCCTGTGTCTGCATTGGCATAAGGATCTTAAGTGAGGATTCAACCAACATTTTCTGAGCATTTTGTGCATGTTTACAAAATAGGAACTGTTTTTGTGATTTTTGTGAAGATATCTATCCCGGGATAATACTTTGCAAGGTTAAAAGGAAAACAGAAAATTGGATCTTGTTTGAGAATTTTAGGCCTAGAAAGTAAAAAAGATTAATAAAAGCATTCTTCCCCCAAAAGACTAATAAATACCACCGTGGTGTACACAGTGATTTTAGGTGGGACTGTACATTGCACTAAATAACACTGATGACTAGATAATGTGAAAGTGACTCTCTTTCATACTTTGGATTATGTCAAACAAGAAGTCTGTTTGCGGCTATCATGTTTTATCACAGTAACTCTTGCTTATTTGCTTTTGTAACAAAGATAGATCAGACCCCAGACTCAGAGCTGTTATGACAGGAAATGCAGATATTACATTTAAGGTAGTGATCTGCTTTTCTTTCTAAATAAAGTTACTTAGTGAGCCAGTTTATAGCAAAATAATAAGAAAAATAATGCAAGCTCTGTGCAGGTATGAGGTGGATAGATTATAATGTGATATACAAAGATGTGTATCTTGCTCATGTAGAGTTACTAAGGTTGCAGAGGACTTTAGAGCGGTTGTCCTACAAGGAGTGGCTCAGTGACCCAAGCCATGTCTTGTAGCTGTACCACCTGAAATTATTCCCAAAAAGAACGTCTTGGTCAAACATGGAAAGAAAGGAGACAGTATGGATAATTGCACACCTGCTCTTCCATGCTTCTAACGGGAAAGTTTTGCACATCCCTTCCGTTCACATTTCTTTGGTCCAAGCAAGACACAGCCATGCTTAACTTCAAGCGAGTGGGGAAATGCAGTTCTTTCGAATGTTTATTAGAGGCAGAGAATGAGATATTGGTGAACAACAGTGATATCTACCACCCACTTAAACAGATAAAGTTTGAAATTCACTGGATTAATGTATTATCTCAAAGAAGAAACAGACCACTAAGTAACTATATGGAAAAATAAGGAGAAAATCCTAACACCTCGTGGAGCATGTGTGAATGTTACTTAGTTGTGGGGACTCTGCGACCCCATGGACTGTAGCCCACCAGGCTCCTCTGTCCATGGGGTTTCCCAGGCAAGCATGCTGGAGTAGATTGCCAGTCCCTCCTGCGGGGGATCTTCCTGACCCAGGGATTGAACCTGGGTCTCCCACAATGTGGGCAGATTCTGTACTGTCTGAGCCACCTGGAAAGCCCATGCATGGACAATACAAAATGAGCTAGTCATCAGAGTGACTTTTTGGCATTTGACTTCATTTTGTGTGATTTAAATAGTGATATGAGCTATTCATGGAGGGTGCTCTTGTGCCTCAGTATTTTGTGTTTCGTTCACTGATTTGTTACTCCATTTACCCACTGCTTAAATATGATGTTTCTTAAAAAGAGCAGACTTTGCCAGACTGTGGAACCAGCAGAGTGTACTCATTTCCCTTGCTGTTCTTACCTTTCAGACTTGGATCCACGTGCTGGTCATCATTGGGAGCATCTTGTCCTATTTCTCCTTCGCCTTGGCTTTTGGAGCCCTGTGTGTCACTTGCAACGCGCCGTCCAGCCCCTACTGGATTATGCAGGAGCACATGGTGGACCCCGTGTTCTACTTGGTTTGTGCTCTCACAGCCTCTGTTGCCCTGCTACCCAGGTATGGCATTTGTTTTATCATCAAGAGGGTAAGCAAAACCATAGGCTTAGAATTCTTCTAGCAGCTACTAAGAATAGATGGCTAGACCATCATGTTTAGTAGTAGACAAGTCGGTCTGCATGGTAGTTAAAATATTGGTTTTATCACTTTTACCAGAGTACAAAAGTGGCTTAAGCAAGTGAAAAGATTTATTTCTCTTTCAAGGAAATTTCTAGTCTGGTTGATAGTCCACAGGGAGAGGGTAATTTCGCTTCCCAAAGTTACTGAAGGACTCAGATCCTTCCCCTTGTCTGTTTCGTTCTGCCATCTCCCAAGGGCGTTGCCTTCACTTGCATGACTGAAGCTGGTCACCAGCAGTACTCTGTGGTCCTGGATTCCTGCCCTGCATCTCTGCCTACCGGAGGGAGAAAGAGAAGATGGAGGGCATGTAGCTTTCCAAATTGCCTCTTTTTATTCTTTTTTGTTATGCTATGACCCAGATGTAATATCCATCACTGCTCATATCCCATTACCTAGAACCTGGGTATGCAGAACTCTGAGTGGCTAAAATCTGGTGGTTTCTAAAAAGAAGGGGAGGATGGGTACTGAGGGACATGTAGCAGTCTCAACTAAAACCTCTAAACCTTGAAAGCTTACCTCCTTTGGGACTTCAGTTATCTTCCTCATTTAAGTTTAACTCAGTTTCCCATGTGGATGGAAATGGCTAAGATGTATGCATGGGTTTTTAATCTATAGGTTCTTCAGACTCTTTAGAGCTCTTCCCCTTTGTAGTTTTATGTAATCTGTTTAGCTGAAAACACTATAGCAAATAATTGTTCATCCTTTATGATATAAACATCAAAACGATGATTTCATATTACTTGCTCACAAGGTTGACAAATTGGCTCACAAGCAACTCTGACCCGCTGCCTATTTTTATAAATAACATCTTATTGGAGCATAGACATACTTACTAATTTATGTACGATCTATAGCTGCTTCTGCACTGTAAGAGCAGAGTTGAATAGTTCCAACACAGACTGTCTGGTGCCCCAAGCCTTACACTCTGGCTTATTGGATGAAAGTTTGCCAACCCCAGTCTGTAACATCATCATAAGAAACAATGGGCACAGACCTTTTGTTATGGGTAGATGTCCCTTCTAGAAATGCGTAAGAAAAACCCACCTGAGTCATTCTGTGGTGGCTACAATCATATACTTAACAATATCCCTGGTAAACTGAGTTGCTTCTGTAGTTCTCACTGTTATTACCAACTTTCAGATTAAAAACTGACAAGATGAACGTGTAGAATTCATGAAGAAACACTTACTTTAAAGTTATAGCCTGAAAAATTTTTTCAAGTGCATTAACAGTACAATTTTACCTATTATTGTTGTAGTAACCTGAAAAAACAAACCAGCCCCTAACCCAGCAATCCCACTACTGGGCAATATACTCTGAGAAAACCATAATTGAAAAAGTCGCATGTACCCCAATATTCATAGCAGCACTATTTACAGTTGCTAGGACATGGAAGCAACCTAGATGTCCATCGATGAATGCATAGATAAAGAAGATGTGGTATATATACACAATGGAATATTTCTCAGCCATAAAAAGGAATGAAATAGTGCCATGTGCAGAGAGGCAGGGGGAGATTTGCCACAGACAGGAGAATGCACTTTGACCATGGTAACAGAAATACCTTGGTCACAAGCCAAGGAATGCCTGCAACCACCAGAAGCTGGAAGAGGCAAGAAATGAATTCTCTATTGGAGGGAACATGGTCTTTCCGGCACCTTGATTTTGTTGCTCAGTTCAGTCACTCGGTCATGTCTGACTCTTTGCGACCCCATGGACTGCGCATGCCAGGCTTCCCTGTTCATCACCAACTCCTGGAGCTTGCTCAAACTCAAAGTCAGTGATGCTATCCAACCATCTCATCCTCTGTCATCCCCTTCTCCTGCCTTCAGTCTTACCCAGCATCAGGATCTTTTCCAGTGAGTCAGTTCTTCACATCAGATGGCCAAAGTATTGGAGCTTCAGCTTCAGCATCAGTCCTTCCAATGAATATTCAGGGCCAATTTCCTTTAGGATGGACCAGTTTCATCTCCTTGCAGTCCAAGGGACTCTCAAGAGTCTACTCTAACACCACAGTTCAAAAGCATCAATTCCTCAGCACTCAGCTTTCTTTATAGTTCAACTCTCATATCCATACATGACTACTGGAAAAACCATAGCTTTGACTAGATGGACCTTTGTCAGCAAACTAGTATCTTTCTTTTAAATATGATGTCTAGTTTGGTCATAGCTTTTCTTCCAAGGAGCAAGCATCTTTTAATTTCATGGCTGCAGTCACCATCTGCAGTGATTTTGGAGCTCAAGAAAATAGTCTGTTACGGTTTCCATTGTTTCCCTATCTATTTGTGATGAAGTGACGGGACTGGATGCCATGATCTCAGTTTTTTGAGTGTTGAGTTTTAAGCCAGCTTTTTCAGTCTCCTCTGTCACTTTCATCAAGAGGCTCTTTCATTCCTCTTCTCTTTCTGCCGTAAGGGTGGTGTCATCTGAGTATCTGAGGTTATTGATGTTTCTCCCAACAACCTTGATTCCAGTTTGTGCTTCATTCAGCCTGGCATTTCGCATGATGTACTCTGCTTGTAAGTTAAATAAACAAGATGACAATATATAGCCTTGACATACTCCTTTCCCAATTTGGAACCAGTCCGTTGTTTCATGATCGGTTCTAACTGTTGCTTTTTGACCTTCATAGAGATTTCTCGTGAGGCAGGTAGGGTGGTCTGGTATTCCGATCCCTTGAAGAATTTTCCACAGTTTGTCATGATCCACACAGTCAAAGGCTTTGCCGTAGTCAATAAAGCAGAAGTAGATGTTTTTCTGGAACTCTTTTGCTTTTTCTATAATCCAATGGATGTTGGCAATTTGATCTCTGATTCCTCTGCCTTTTCTAAAACCAGCTCGAACATCTGGAAGTTCATGGTTCACAAACTGTTTGAAGCCTGGCCTGGAGAATTTTGAGCATTACTTTGCTAGCATGTAGGATGAGTGCAATTGTACCTTGAACGTTCTTTGGCATTGCCTTTCTTTGGGATTGGGATGAAAACACAGATTTCAGAATTCTTGGCCTGCTGAACTGTGAGAAAATAAGGTTCTATTGTCCTAAGCCAGCACGTTTATTGTGCAGCAGCTATAGAAAACAAATACAGACTTTGGTATCAGGAAGGTGGGTACTGCTGTAATAAATACCTAAAAAATGTGAAATAGGCTTTGAAATTAGATAATGGGCAGATCCTGGAAAAATTGTGAGGTACATAATAGACTGTTGAATTTTGAGGCATGTATGCAGACCGTCAATAGAATTATGGACATTAAAGTACCTGCTGGTGAAAATTCAGAAGAAAGTAGAAAGCATGGTCAGAGAAAGTGATATCATCTTGGAAAATACATAAATGTTCATTAATGGAATGTTGCTAGAAATGTGAGTGTTAAAGGTACTGCTGGCAAAGTCTCAGAAGGAAATGAGAAACATTATTGGAAATTGGAGGAAAGGGAATCTTGGCAATATAGTGGCAGAAAACTTAGCTGAATTGTGTTCTACTGTTATGTGGAAAGCAGAATTTGTAAGTGATGAACTTGGGTATTTAGCTGAGGAGTTTTCTAAGCAAAGTGTTGAAGTTTTGGTCTAGTTTCTTCTGGTTGCTTATAGAAACTTAGCAACCGAACAACAACCTAGAAAAATGGGAAGGAAAAGAGATCGAGGGAAGGTACCATTAAGTCCAAAGAAACTAGATTTAGAAAATTCTCAGCCTACCCAGATTTCAAAAGTTGCTAAAATTAGGCAATTTGCTATTGGGAGTATGCTCGAGAGAGTGGGCCAAGAGTGTGGCTGAACAACCTTTGCTGGTGCTGAAGAGTTTGGGTGTGTGACTCACGGATCCTCTCAGTCACCTCAACAGTCACCAAGGAAGGAGGCGAGACACGCAGGGAAGACCTGTGGCGGACCCTCTTATCTCATGGCATAAATGCCCATAACCGACATTGGAGACTCACAAGGGTTTTGAAAATGTTCTTGTTGTTACTTAGTTGCTAAGTCATCTCCGGCTCTCTGCAACCCCATGGACTGTAGCCCACCAGGCTCCTCTGTCCATGGAATTTCCCAGGCAAGAACATTAGAGAGGATTGCCATTTCCTCCTCCCTAGCATCTTCCTGACCGAAGGATCGAGCCCACGTCTCCAGCACTGGCAGGCAGATTCTTTACTGCTGAACCACTAGGGAAGCCCCTAAATACTGTCAGCTTGGCCTGAAGGGGTCAAGTTTGTGGTAATTTGTTACAATAGCCATAGAAAACTAGAAGCTAGCATTTTAAAAAATACTGTGCCAGCGCTTTGCCTGCTTCATATGTATTGTCTCATTGAACTTAACAGACTATTGACTAGGGGATTGTTGAAGAAACTAACACCTATGGCATTAATACATTTCTGTTCATTAATATGATAACATTAAGACTGTAATGTAGCTCTGTTGGTATCTCTACTTTTATTACAGATATTTTTTTATCTGACAATCAGGAACTTATTTCCTCACTGTTTAATAAACATTAATTTCATGTTCTTGTTATCTCCATTTTATAGTTCACTAACCCTCCCTCTTTACGTCAAGAAGGGCCCCCAGACCCTTTTCCTTTTTCTAATCAGTGCGTATTTTTTGTGGCCCATAATGCATCGAGGTGAATGTAATTCTGTGATGCTTTTTGTAACCTAGGTTTATATACAGAGTTCTTCAGGGATCCCTCTTTCCATCTCCAATTCTGAGGGCAAAACACTTGGACAGACTGCCTGCAGAGGAGAGGACTGAAGCTCTCAAGAGGTGGAGAGGGGCTGGGCAGATGGATCAGTTGACGTCTAAGTGTGCTGACCACTCAGCTGTAGCGGCAGAGAGAATACCCACATATGAACCGTCTGCTGTCTTTGCAGTGATGTCGGCAACTGCTTGTGCTGTTGAGAAAGGAAACTTACCTGAATGTGAAACTGCTTTAGACTCAGATTTCTCTGAAACTAAGGCCTCGGGGGTGGCTGGACCCTCAAAGGATTAAAAAAAGCAGGATATCCTCCTTGGAGATGCCAGTATTCCATCAAGTTTGGGAAAGCAACTTTGAAGAGGCTCCTTTGCCAAAGCTGCATGACTTGATTTTTCCTTAAGGGACAAGAACATTTTACTGGGCCTGGACAAGCTGATGTGATGACCTTTACTGTATGTTTATGGATCCATGTGTAACAGACATTAGAATTTGACCTGGACAGAGTTTAGAGAAGTGAAATATTTAATTCAGAATCAAATGCTTTCATGAAACTTTTGGATTTTGTGGAAGCATTTTAGTTGCTCTATAAATGCAAATATTTTCACGAGGATTCATTTGGGGCATATATGTATTTGACTCTGGTCATTTCAGTGTTCTCCTGAGGTGGGGTGTTCCTGAGAAAGGGATGGCGGGGATGCCAGGGGTCCACAGAGGGGCCTTCCTCTCGAGGCTTCTGGTCAAAGGAAGACTTTTTATGAGGTCTGCCTCTGTATATGTGCGGTCTGCGAGGCGATAGAGGCCACAGGTAAGGAAAATGGGCTCAGGTGGGTCTAGGCCCCCTTGGCAGTCTCCTGAATCCTAAAACTGCCAGTAGCCGGATCAAAATGAGACAATCAAGACATTCCTCAGGCGGTCGCTTGAGGGCTTATCGTCTTTACAGTACCCTATAACTTTTCTGGTATGCAAACACTTTCAAGCCCTTTTCAACCTCTACAAGTGAGATATTATAAACTTACACTGATACAGGTGATTCTCAGGAGAATTCTGTGAGGTTCTTAGATTTGCTTTTAATTACATTTAGGACAAGAAAGTCTATATCAAGTCCATTGCTGTTGCAAATCATGTATGCTGGCTTTAATTGGAACAAGGAAACTAGTTTCTACCGTAACTGCCAGGTATTATTATAAGATCATGTATTCTTGCTGAGTTCTTTTAAATTTCTGTATCCATTCATCTGAAAATTGTCAGCCAACCCAGAACTTCCTTCATGAAATGTCCATGCTAATGTTCTCTGTCTGTATCAAGCTTTTATTAATGACTATTTAGCTGTTGTTCTCAGGGCTTAATTTTCTACCTGTTGCCTACTGTTCTGGACTGATATTTTCTGTAGCCTTCTAATATTATTGCAAATGGTCTTTTATACAGACTGATTTCTAGAATATCCAAAACCCCATATGGCTAATGGAGGTAGCTATCTGCTTTCTTATGATTTTTTAAAAATAAACTTTTTCATAAATAACATATATTAAAAGCTGTCATAACTCTGATACTCATCAAATGCAATAGTAATTGGTACCAGAACTGAGAAGGAAAATCCCAAAGCAATACCTTTAAAGAATATTGTTTGACCTATCCTTATATGGAAAAGTCAGTGATGTCATATCATCTATTATCGTCATAGCAACTAGCATTTATTCTTTGAGATCATCATCTTTTGATAAATACAAATTTAGAGATATATCCACTTAAAAAAGATTAGAATCTAAGGAATGAGTTCAAAAGACTAAAAAAAGGCCAGTCTCTCTGATATAAATTATCTGTGTACAGCAGTTCATGTTATGTGTCTACAACTTCTTGTCTACGATTCAGCAATCCCAGGAACTCTGAAAACTGAACAAGTTTTCATAAATTAAGCACAAATACAATGTCTTAAACAGATACAAGACTATTTATTTAATATAGTTATTCATATATTTTGCCACAAAAATATTAATAATTTTATTACTGTGCTACTAAACATTTTAATATTATGCTTTTTAAATTTTTTAAAATTCTGGATTCTGAGACACATGTGGTCCTCAGGAGGAGATTTAGGATCAATATAAAGCCTTTAAAGTTTCTCATTTCCATGTGAATAACTCTTATGCTGATGTTCCTAAGCTGATGTTCCAGCATTTTTGGTAGGTATTCAGCATATTTTACCAAATTTGGGGGAGCCCAATTTGCTCCTAGTAGCCAAGAAAAATGAGCAGTATATACTTGTGATATAATTTTTACCCCAAAAGATTTATAAAGGAATTGGATTAGATTCCCAAAATGTATTCTAGAAGACAAAAATCCTTATCCTCTTACCAGGGCTAAAGTTTTCCTTGGACAATCAATGGGTGATAAGAAGATTATCAGCAAACTCTCCTTTCAGACTAATCAAAGAGTAGTGGCATTTAAAAGAGTATATTCCTGGGGGAGTGAGATATAAGACAAGTGAATTTTGATTGGTTGGAAACTGAGTGCCAACTATAATAGTGGGGAACATTTTCTGGGGCTTGCTCCTTGTTTTACATCCATTAAAGAAAATTACATCATTTTATCTGTATTAAAGGGTTAGCTACAATATATACATTTCACTGAACATAAGTTGAGCATAATTCCATTATATAACAAAACTGATGTATGTTCTTAAACTTTCATACAACTTGTGACCATAATTGAGTTGCTGGATTTTACATTCTCAATAGGTTTATACAAACTACAGAACAAGAGATGAATCACATGGAAAGTGTCAAGACAGCTCTGCAAATGTCACCTATGCACACACATAGAGGAGAGTAAACCTGCAGGTGGTCTCTGAGGGTGCTGGGGCAGCCCAGGCTGTGCAGGAAATCCTTCGTTGTTGCTCAGGTGCTCAGTCGTGCCCAACTCTCTGAGACCCCGTGGACTGTAGCCCACCAGGCGCCTCTGTCCATGGGATTTCCCAGGCAAGAACACTGGAGTGGGTTGCCATTTCATTCTCCAGAGGATCTTTCCAACCTGGGGAATGAACCTGTGTCTCCTGCATTGGCAGGAAGATTCTTTACTGCTGAGCTACCAGGGAAGCCCATAAATTAAATTAGATACATGTGAAGATTTGTGTTTTGAAGGTTTTTAGTGAGGAAAAAAATACTTTAATCACCCATTACTTTATAAATTGACCTGTGCATCATGGCATAGAACTTAAAAGCATATTTATTTATTTATTTTTTTTTAACAGTAGATAAAAGTTTTATTAGACTGCAGAATGTTGTTTCATGGAAATTAAGATAAACATGTTTCACACAAGACATTTTGCCATGAAGTGAAGTGAAGTTGCTCAGTCGTGTCCGACTCTTTGCGACCCCATGGACTGTAGCCTACTAGGCTCCTCGGTCCATGGGATTTTCCAGGCACGAGTACTGGAGTGGGTTGCCATTTCCTTCTCCATATTTAATTTTTTAATTATCATCAGTGGGAAGAAATGGCAACACCAGCTATTAAATATCTTTTAAGAAAAATTACAAAATGTTTTTCTTCATGCAAAAAGTTTTACTGTGCCTTGAAATACATCTCTGTGACCTTATTGGTATGGATGAACAGAGAAAAACTGGAAAATAATTAGGTGTGAGAGAAATTTAATTTCCTTAAAAAATTGCATCTCTCCACTCTAAAGCAAGTCCTCCTCTAGCAAAGTTTAACCTCAACTTCATTGTCACAAAAACAGAAAGAAATTTTTCCCACAAATAGTTTCCGGTTGTCAAAATCTCAGTTGGCTAACTGATACAGAGTGAACAAACCCCAACTCTGGGAAGGGTCTATGGAGACTTTCCTGTGCAATTACAGCCTGGATTTAAATTCCAAATGGGCAGTCTTTTCATATCAAGTGCTAATATTGATGTGGAAAGAACTCTGTCGTCAATGAAATTTGCTCTTTCAGCTACCTAAATGGATGCTGTCTTTCATAAGTTCTCAGAATTATGCAGACTTTAGAATAATAATGAATAACTTAAGCATGTAAATTATCTTGGTTTTTCATAAATCAAAAGCAAGCCTCTGATGTTGTTATTGAAATTTGCCACTATGCTCTTGTGCTGGAGAAATTTTCATTTTTCTGGCAAAGATTCATTAGCCTGGACCTCCATGTCCTTTTGTGATTGGACAAGAGGGGACTTTCTCCAACCTGTTACCCTGGTGCCTACACTCTTCTCTTTCCCATGTTGACCATTCATTTCACTTTACAGTTGAGGTTAGGCCTGCCTGGCAAAAGAATGAGCTCTATTTTGCTTTGGTTTTTAAAAGACTTTCATTCAACTTGAAATAAGAGAAAAACAGAACTGGAAAAAAAAAAAGCTGTATAAAATGCGACTGAGACAAACATGAACACATGCAATGACTGCGGAGCGTCCCTGCCTGTGAGACGTGCTTCTGTACAGCTCTCTGCAGGGCGTCTGCCACTGTCAAGAAGGCCATTTTCTTTGAATGTTGCTGGCAAAAGTCTCTGATCATCTTTGGAATTAGTTTAGGAGAAAGGTATGGATGTATATTTGTCTTTCAATCCATTTGACAAAGTATGTCACGTTGCTGTAAACTCCAGGCCCCAGGACTTTGGAAAAGCAGATGGAGCCCCATGAAGTTAAGCCAAATAATGTCCACTGTCCTTCCAGCTTCTCGCAAACTAGAGGCCCACCACTGTCACCCTGTAAGGAAGAGCACGGACGTTAGTCACTCTTCTTTCAGAGCCCTCGTGTCCATGCTATCCTGAGGGTGAAATAGAGCCAAACCCAGCTTAACCACTGTCCTGAGAAATGTCAACAAAGGTCTCATTGTCAGTGTGTGAAGGGAACACGCTTTCCCCTACATAAACAGAACTTTCAAATGAACATTTTAAATCTTGATCTTTTAAAGAATAGAGGTGGCTTGGGAAAGGACTATATTCTTTTTTTTCTGTGAAATCAGACATTTTGTCATTTCTTACACTTAATCAAAATATATCAAACTTTTTTTTAATTAAAAAAAATTCATATCAGGACTGAGTCCCTAACTGATCTCATTCTTTTAATTTTGATCCAGTTTATAAATGTAGAACATGTTCAAGGATAGTTTTCTCACAAAAAATAGTGCTAGAAAAATCTAAAAATAAGTCATTACTTTCAGGATTCTTGCTGTGTGAATAAATGTATTAAGTAAAACACATTCAGGGTAAGAAAAACTTAACTATTTACTGTATTTAATAGAAGAGAATTAGCATGCTTAAATAGAAAATACCACGTAAGAATTACAGTAAAACTTATTATAATGCATACATAGAGATTCGTTTGCATAGCGACTTTCATTCTTAATATTTAAGTTTAGGTATTAGTTGAGTTTTGTTCAGTTTTCTTTGTCCACATATAATTAAGACACTATGGCTTTAAAAATGCTAATATTTGCTACATCTGAAAAGATGAGAATATGAGAGGTGTGTTCTGCATGTCCTCAAAAGAGAAGGATAGATACTCCATAAAATAAGGATGTGGACTCGTGACAGATTTGCGAGACACTCCTTGCTTGGCGAGAGTTTCAAGCTTGGACGCATATCTACAGTCCTCCCACTTGGTGATGTTGGGAAATAGGGATCATGTTTATTGATGCTCTCCTAAACACCTTCCCTGTGTTAGTTTATTTAATTCTCATGAAATAATTACAGGTTAGTATCCCTTGGACTGCAAGGAGATCCAACCAGTCGATCCCAAAGGAGCTCAGTCCTGGGTGTTCATTGGAAGGACTGATGCTGAAGCTGAAACTCCAATACTTTGGCCACCTGATGCAAAGAGCTGACTCATTGGAAAAGACCATGATGCTGGGAGGGATTGGGGGCAGGAGGAGAAGGGGACGACAGAGGATGAGATGGCTGGAAGGCATCACCGACTCGATGGACATGAGTTTGAGTGAACTCTGGGAGTTGGTGATGGACAGGGAGGCCTGCGTGCTGCCATTCATGGGGTCGCCAAGAGTCAGACACGACTGAGCGACTGAACTGAATAATTATTGTAACAATAATTATTTACATGTTACTACTTATATAAATATAGACATTTAAATAAATAATAGTTATATCTAATTTATTCCTCCCTGCTTTGGTAACTATGTTTGTTTTCTATGTCTGTGAATCTGTTTCTGCTGTATATATAGATTCATTTGTACTATTTTTTTCAGTTCAGTTCAGTTGCTGAGCCACATCTGACTCTTTGCAACCCCCATGGATTACAGCACACCAGGCTTCCCTGTCCATCACCAACTCCCGGAGCCTACTCAAACTCATGCCCATCGAGTCGGTGATGCCATCCAGCCATCTCACCCTCTGTCGTCCCCTTCTCCTCCTGCCCCCAATCCTTCCCAGCATCAGGGTCTTTCCCGGCGTTGGGGCCTTTCCCCGGCATCTGGGTCTTTCCCAGCGTCCGGGCCTTTCCCAGCATCTGGACCTTTCCCACGGAGTCCGCTCATCGCATCAGGTGCCACTAGCTTGTTTCTGCTTCTATTTCTTTCGCTTTGGGCAGCTGATCTAAAACTACTGCTACAGTTTATATCAAAGAATGTTTTGCCTCTGTAATCTTCTAGCAGTTTTATGGCATGTCTTACATTTAGGTTTTAAAACTGATTTAATTTTGTATAATTATAATAATTATGTATAATTTTTGTTGTAATATCATTAATTTACTTGTAGCTGTCCAGCTTTCCCAACACCACTTATTGAAGAGATTGTATTCTTGCCTCAGAGATTGGCCATAAACATGTGGGTTTATTTTTGGCCTCTGTCCTGTTCCCCTGATCCGTATGTCTGTCACCATGCTATTTTGATTACTGATCCGTATGTCTGTCACCATGCTATTTTGATTACTGATCCGTATGTCTGTCACCATGCTATTTTGATTACTGTAGCTTTGTAGTATAATCTGGAATGAGTATGTCTCCAAGTTTTGTTCTTTTTTCTCAGAGTTGCTTTGGCAATTCTGGATCCTCTGTAATTCCACATATATTTTAGAATTATTTGTTCTAGTTCTGTTAAAAAAAAAATGTCATGAGTATTTTGACAGTTCAGTTGCTCAGTCATGTCCAACTCTTTGCGACCCCCATGGACTGTAGCACGCCAGGCCTCCCTGTCCAGCACCAGCTCCCAGAGTTTACTCAAACTCAGGTCCATTGAGTCGGTGATGCCATCCAACCATCTCTTCCTCTGTCGTCCACTTCTCCTCTCTCCTTCAATCTTTCCCAGTATCAGGGTCTTTTCAAATGAGTCAGTTCTTCACTGATCAGGATTTTTTAACAGGGATTGCATTAAATCTGTAGATTGCTTTGGGTGGTATGACTGTTTTTACAATACTAATTCTTTCAATCCTAGAGCATTGGATATCTTTACATTTCTTTGAATCATCTTCAGTTTTCAGTTCATAGGGGTTTTCACCTCCTTGGTTAAGTTTATTCTTAGGTATTTTTTAACGTGATTTTAAAAACGATTTTTTTTTTCAATTTTTTCTTTCTGATATTTCATTTAGTGTAAAGAAATGTAACAGCTTTCTGTATATGAATCTTGTATTCTGTTACCTTGCTGAATTCACTTATTAGTTCTAATAGTTTCTGTGTGGAGATTTTAGGATTCTCTATATAGAGTATCATATAATCTGCAAATAATGACAGTTTTCTTTCCCTTCAAGGTTTTCAGTTTTTCACCATTGGGTATTATGCTGGCTGTAAGTTTGTCACAAATGGCTTTTATTATGTTGAAATATTGTCCCTCTATACCCACTTTGTGGTGTGAACATTAGCAAATTGAAGAATAAAAACCATATTATCATCTTGATAAATGTAGAAAAAGCTTTGGACAAAACTCCATACCCATCTTTAAAAAGTGGGCATAGAGGGAACATAACTCAGCATAATAAAGGCATATATGGGCTTCCCTGGTAGCTCAGCTGGTAAAGAATCTGCCTGCAATGCAGGAGACCCTGGTTCAATTCCTGGGTCAGGAAGATCCCCCGGAGAAGGGATGGGCTCCCCGCTCCAGTAATCTTGGGCTTCCCTGGTGTCTCAGTCGGTAGAGAATCTACCTGCAATGTGGGATACCTGGGTTGGGAAAATTCCCCTGGAGGAGGACATGGCAACCCACTCCAGCATTCTTGCCTGAGAATCCCCATGGACAGAGGAGCCTGGCGGGCTACAGTCTGTGGGGTCACAAAGAGTCAGACATGACTCAGCACAGCACAGCATGTGACAAACCCACAGCTAAACATCACACCCAGTGGTGAAGAACTGAAAGCATCTCCTCTAAAATAGGTACAAGACAAAGATGTCTTCTCTTGCGACCTCTACTCAACATAGTTTTGAGAGTCCCAGCAATAGCAACAGAGAAGAAAAAGAATAGTAAATCAAATTATGAAAAGTAAAATTGTCACTGTTTGCAGATGACATGATAACTATATGTAGAAAATCCTAAACATGCTACAAGAAAACTATTAGAACTCATCAATGAATTTGGTACAGTTGCAGGATACAAAATTAATACACAAATATGTTGAATTTCTAGACACTAACAATGTAAGATCAGAAAGAGAAATTAAGGAAACAATCTGATTTACTGTTTCATCAAAAAAGTAAAATACCTTGGAATAAACATAGCTCAGGAGACAAAAGACCTCTACTCAGTTCACTAAGATACTGATACAACAAATTGAAGAGCACACAGATAAATGGAAAGATATACCTATCATGTTCATGGATTAGAAGAATCAGTATTGTCCAAATGACTATATTACCCAAGGCAATCTACAGATTCCATGCAATCCCTATCAAATTACTATGTCATTTTTTGCAGATCTAGAACAAAAAAATCTTATAACTTGTATGGAAACACAAAAGATCCCAAATAACCAAAGCAAGCTTGAGAAAGAAAGAAAAGCTGAGAAATCAGGCTCTGTTACTTCAGAATATATTGTAAAGCTACAGTAATCAAAGCAGTATGGTACAGGCCCAAAGGCAGGCTTATAGATCAATGGAACAGGATAGAAAGCCTAGAAATAAATCCACATAACTATGGTCAATTAATATGACAAAGAAAGCAAGAATATACAATGGAGAAAAGACAGACTCTTCTTCAGTAAGTGGTGCTAGGTAAATTGGAGAGCTACATGTAAAATAATGAAATTAAAATACTTCCTAACACTATGCACAAAAATAAACTCAAAATGAATTAAAGACCTAAATGTAAGACTAGATATTACAAAACTCTTAGAGGAAAACATAGGCAGAACACTCTTTGATATAAACCACAGCAAGATCATTTTCAATCCACCTCCTATAGTAATGAAGATAAAAACCATAACCAAATGAGATTTAATTAAATTTAAAAGCTTTTGCACAGCAAAGGAAACCACCAAAACAAAAAGACAACTTACAAAACAGGAGAAAATATTTGCAAACAATACAACTGACAAGGGATTAATCTCCAAAATATACAAACAGCCCATGAAGCTCAATATCAAAACATCAAACAACCCAAACAAAAATGGGCAGGAGAGAAACATTTCTCTAAAGAAGACATACAAATGACCAAAAAGAACATGAAAAGATATTCAACATTGCTAACTATTAGACAAATGGAAATCAAAACTACACTGTAGTATCAGCTCAGACTAGTCAGAAGAGCCAGCATCAAAGTCTACAAACAATAAATGCTGAGGAGGGTGTGGGGAGAAGGAAACCCTCCCTGTACTGTAGGCAGGAATATAAACTGGCGCAATCACTATGGAGAGCAGTGCAGAAGTTCCTTAAAAACTAAAAGTGGGGTTACCATGTGATCAGCAACTCCTGGACATATATCTGGGAAAAAACCCCACAATTCAAAAAGATACATGCACCCCAATATTCATTGCAGCTCTATTTGCAATAGCCAAAACATGGAAGCAATCTAACTGCCCCCAGACAGATGGGTAAAGAAAATATACTACATATATACGATGAAATGTTATTCAGCCATTAAAAAGAATGAAATAAAGCCATTTGCAGGATCATGGATGGACCTGGAGATTATCGCACTAATTATGTCAGAGAAAGCCAAATATCACATCACTTATATTTGGAATCTAAAAAGATGATATAAATGAACTTATTTCCCTTTCAAAGGGCTGACTAAATTGTTCTGTGTGAAAGCCTGTTTGATTTTTAAGCAAAATTTACTGGAAACATTTTGATTAGACATATTCCAGTTTTTTCATCTCCTCTTATATAAAAGAATTAAGATACTGATTTATGCTGTGCTACACAACTTAGTGACTAAACCACCACCACCACTTATTTATGCTAGTTATTAAAATAGGATATGTTTACAGCATCCCTACATTTCCAGATCAGAAACTTAGCCACATAATAATTTAGAATCTATTTTTTGGAGGATTCTGTGCTAAAGTCTACACAAGTAAGGAACTATTTTTACCCTAAAGGGGCCAAAAGTCCACTTGGATAATGAGAAAAACTTTACATGAAAGCAAAATTTAAGGGCTATAAATAAAGGAGTCTTCAAAAGAATGAGCGATTGCTTCCAGCTGGAGGGGAACATAGGATCCCCTGAAGAGTAGATTTTGAGCTAAGCTTAGTGAGACGGGTGGACATGTTAGTTGGAAAACAAGTGAAGCAGCAGCAATTCAAAATGAAAGGATACAGATAAAGGCACAATTGGGTCCTCTTTGCCTCTTCATAATATTGGACTTCAGGCCAAAGTTTGTTTGGTTTGCAATATTGAGTCCCATGATTTCTAGACCGTAACAGAGGACCATGGCCTCCAAGGTGTCCTACTGATGCAGTTAAGGAAGATAGTGAGAGGTTCTGATGAATAATTTTGCTCTAGACTTGGTAAAAAGAAGTAGCCTTTTGTCTCTCTTCTTTTCTACCTGGGGTTTTGTTAGAGAGCATCTGGTATGTGTTTAAGATGCTCACAGTGTGGAACTTCCACCACTAAAGAAGTTGACAGGACCCAATTCTTATTAGACATTATTATATGAGCATGACTACACCCATGTCTATGTTGGGCCTTAATTTCTCTTTCAAGAATCAACCTTCCATCCCTTCCCTTTAGCAGTTACCATTTCATTATACAGTTGAGGTTAGGCCTGCCTGGCAAAAGAACAAACTTTGTTTTGCTTTGGTTTTTAAAAGACTTTCATTCATTCAACTTGATTCATTCAAGTCATTCAACTTGAAGTAAGAGAAAAATAGAATTGAAAAAAAAGCTGCGTAAAATTAGGCTAAGACAAACTTGAACACTTGCAGTGCACTGTGGAGCATCCCTGTCTATGCAAAGTGCTTAGAGAGCTGTCCTGAGGCACTAGTTGCTGGGGAACATCCAGTTCGTATTGGCAACACAGAGAAATGTGTTCACATTAATCCTTGTTTCTAGGATAGTTAGTGGCCAAACACTTGAATTCTGAAGCCAGACTGCCTACACTCATAACTTCATTCTGCCGCCTTAGTACTGGGTGATATGGGGTAAATTACTTAACCTCTATGATCCCTTGTTTTCCACAAGTGATGATTGTGAGAATTCAGTGAGTTATTAAAAAGTATTTAGAAGAGATAATGGAAACATCTGATAACAAATTATTTTCAAAAAATTTTCCCAAAGAGCCATACATGAATAATAATAAGCTTATATGGACCCAGTGAACCTATTGCAGAATTGAATCTCTTTGGTAAGCACAGAGCAACTTACCATGCACGCGTCCACTGTGCCAGACTCATAGCCAGCACAGATCACCCGGCTGGTGATGGTCTTCATGTCAAAGTGGGACTGACACTGCTCCAGAGAAATTATGCGTACTTCTCCCTCTTGCAGCTTAAAAGGCACTGGGTTTTTTTTTAAAAGAGGAAGAAATAAAACATGAGGGTAAAATGACTCAAGAATTAGGTTAATCATACAGGAAATCATTGCATTTTTATATCAAGAAAGCCATATTCCTAGAATGTTATTTCAAAGACAAAGCTTGTTTAGAATCAAAATTTTCCAATTAGAAGTGCTGGTAGCAGTCATTCCATTAGTCAAACTCCTTCATTTTGTTAATGAGAAAATGGAGGCACAGACTGGTTAAGTAACCTGGCTCATGGTTTCCCTTTCATTTTTTACAAATGGGTTTTCTAATTTATTTTTTGTATTTTGGTTGCACCACACAGCATGCAGGATGGATCCCCCACCAGATATGGAACCCAGGCCTCTGCAGGGTAAGCACTGAATCTTAACCACTAGCCCCACCAGGGAACTGCCTCCCTCTCTTATTACATGTGGCAACATAAACAATAGGTATTACAATTAAAATAATCAAGCCAGATCTCTGCCCTAGATGGGAGGCTGCCAGCTCTGTGACAGCTCAGCATGTGAGTCCATTCTGCTAAAGTTCAGATCATCTGTTCAGAGTAACAGGGGAATGGTTGCCCCATCCTTGGTTTAAACAGTGTATCTCACCACATGCTACAGTAGCCATCATTAGATCGGAACCTTTAATCCTAGAAGATGTGTCAGAGAGATGTCCAAAGGGAAGAGCGTCCCTCAGTGTCAGCAGAGAGAATGTGTGAGTTCCAGCTTGCCTGAAAGATCTTGCCTGGGAAATCCCATGGTCGCGGGGCCTGGCAGGCTATAGTCTATAGAGTTACAAAGTCCAACACGACTTAGTGACTAAACAACAACAAAAGGTGGATAACAGGACACGGATCTGTATCTCATCCCTGAGAGCTACAGTACTCCACTGACATAGTTGGCATGGCCAGTGCTTACTATTAAAGAAAATATTAACTAAATTCTTATTCTGAACTTGTAATAGGTCAAACAAGAGTCCTTTACAGGCAGCTGAGAGCAGTACAAAGTTCTAAATTTCTGTATGTTCTCAATGGTGAAGAGCAGAGTATTTCCTCTAAGATCAGGAACAAGACAAAGATGTCCATTTTTGCCACTATTATTCACCATAGTTTTGAAAGTCCTACCCACGGACTTTTGTCAGAGAAGACAATAGGAATCCACATTGGAAAAGAAGAAAAACTCACTGTTGGCAAGTGACATGATATTATACATAGAAACTCCTAAAGATGCTACCAGAAAACTACTAGAGCTAATCAATGAATTTGGTAAAGGTACAGGATACAAAGTTAAAACACAGAAATCTCTTGCCTTCCTATACACAAACAACAAAAGATCAGAAACAGAAATCAGGGAAGTGATCACATTTACCATCTCATCAAAAAGAATAAAATACCTAGGAATAAACCTACCTAAGGAGACAAAAGACATGTACTCAGAAAACTATAAGACACTAATGAAAGAAATCAAAGATAACACACACAGATGGAGAGATGCACCACATTCTTGGATTGGAAGAATCAATAGTCAAAATGACTATCCTACCCAAAGCAATCTAGATTCGATACAATCCCTATCAAGGCAGTGATGACTGATCTTGCATGTCAGCTCCAAGCATCTGTAGGGGCTCCCTGGAGAAATGAGGTATAGAGAGGGACTTCGGAAGTTGCATTTGGGTTTGCAAGTTTAAGTGCATGATGAAGTATTGACTTCTACAATTTGCATGGAAGGGGGAGTGACACATATGCTATTTGTGACTCTATTATAAGTGAAAATGCCATATGACCCAGCAATCCCACTCCTGGGCATACACACTGAGGAACCAGATCTGAAAGAGACACGTGCACCCCAATGTTCATCGCAGCACTGTTTATAATAGCCAGGACATGGAAGCAACCTAGATGCCCATCAGCAGACAAATGGATGAGGAAGCTATGGTACATATACACCATGGAATATTACTCAGCCATTGAAAAGAATTCATTTGAATCAGTTCTAATGAGATGGATGAAACTGGAGCCCATTATACAGAATGAAGTAAGCCAGAAAGATAAAGACCAATACAGTATACTAATGCATATATATATGGAATTTAGAAAGATGGTAACAATAACCCTATATGCAAAACAGAAAAAGAGACACAGATGTCCAGAGCAGACTTTGGGACTCTGTGGGAGAAGGCGAGGGTGGGATGTTCTGAGAGAATAGCATTGAAACATGTATACTATCAAGGGTGAAACATATCACCAGCCCAGGTTGGATGCATGAGACAAGTGCTCAGGGCTGGTGCACTGGGAAGACCCAGAGGGATGGGATGGAGAGGGAGGCGGGAGGGAGGATCGGGATGGGGAACACATGTAAATCATGGCTGATTCATGTCAATGTATGGCAAAAATCATTACAATACTGTAAAGTAATTAGCCTCCAACTAATAAAAATAAATGAAAACAAAATTGAAAATGGGAAATGACTACCAAAGGTTAGGAAGTACCCTAGTGTTTTCCAGTTAAAAGTTAAAAGGTAAGTGCTCCCAAGAATCCTGACTTACTTTTGTTGCCCATGTGTCCCCAGCCTGTGATATAGCAGTAAGTATCAGGTTCTAAGGACTGATCCGGGCTGGGTAAGCAGACGGGTCGGACGTAGCTTGTTTCATTGATGTCTTGGCTTAGCTCCACTATGCTGATGTCATAGTCCACCACCGCTCGACTGTAGCGAGGATGCAGGATGATGGTTTTCACAAGGCGCATCTGCATGAACGTTGATGGGTGGTCTAGGTTATTGATGCCAAACACCACTTTCCAAATGGCAGCATTCTCTCTCCTAAAATAATAATTCAAGAGCTATTGGCATCTTAAACTCAGATTTATCTTTTAAAATTTATATATGATTTTTAAATATCTTATTTTTTATAAATAGTGGCTCTTTCTGTTAGGGCAAGCACACTGACTGAAACCGCCCACCCTGGCCAGGCCCTTTAGTAACCGTCCGCATGAGTTGTTTTATGACAGGAGAGCCTGGTAAGGAATACGGAACTAATAAGCCGCCACCAACCGGAAGAGTTCCGGAAAGGTCAAAAGGAGACACCGCGTGTCCGTCCACTTCCCAGAATCCCTCTCGCTAGCATCCATCTTGGCTGAGCGATGCGTGCGCCACCAGGAAACGCTCTGAATTAGCATGATCGGCCAAAGACCACGGGAAGCTAATCCCGTCACCATAGAACCCGGGACTGTGAGCCACGCTGCAGAGCAGTTCTCCTGGGTTCCCTCACCTACAGCTCTCCGCCCGGGCGCCCTTCCCAATAAAATCTCTTGCTTGGTCAGCATGTGTCTCCTCGGACAATTCATTTCCGAGTGGTCGGCAAGAGCCCGCTCCTGGGGCCCTGAAGCGGGGCTCCCCCTTCCTACAACATTTCCACTCCCACCTCTCGTGCATTCATATAAAAAGCGTTTATATAACCCTTGAACAATTGGTAAATATCGTATTCTTGTAGAAAGCGAAGCTTGGGCTTCCTAGACGGTGCTGCTCTGGAAAACAACACTTGTTCACTTTGAAAGGGAGACAGAGTAGTTACTTGCTTCACTGAGTGGGAAAGGTGATGAAAAGATGTGAAGAGGAGACAAGAGAAAAAAAAATAACTAAAGAGAATGAAAATCAGACGTTAAGTGATCCCGCCAAGAAGGAGCCAGTGCTTCAGAGAAATGTCAGGTTTTCAAGGAAGGCTTCTGAAACCTGCAAGCTAGCAACTTGAAAAAGCGGCCACCCACAGCGTATAACGGGTAGTCTCAGACGTCGCTGGTTTGAACACTTGACAGCGATAGTCCACGTAATTCCGTTTCAGACACCTTCCCACTTGATTTCGAGGCCTCCCCATGCTCCAGAACTTCCTCCTGCCTCTGGGACCGCTTCGCGGTCACGTCCTCCTGCTCCGCGCTCCACGTCTTCACTGGGCGACCCAGGGCTCCCCGCTAGTCTTCTCGCTCTTCACCCGCCCCTTTGAAGAGCTTACCTAGTCAGATGGCTGTGAATGCCGCCCGAATGGCGTTTGTAACTGCAAATGTGTGTCTCCAGCTCCATCCTCTCCTTTGAGCTATAGAATTCATTCCACAGTTATTTGCTATTTACAGCCATCCATTATGCAATACTGGATCACCTCTTAACACTGAACACATCAGCAAGTCCTACTTTCAAGTATATCCTGAGTCTGTTTATCCTTCTGCCACCGCTCCAGTCCTAATCTAAGCTACTCACCTGTCCCAAACGGTGGCCCTTCTTTTACTCTTAACCCCTATGACCCAGGCTCCTCACACAGAGTGACCTTTTTAAAAATAAAATTATGTAAAATTTGTTTCCTGTTCATAATTCTTTTCAGATTCTTTTCCATTATAGGTCATTAAAAGATATTGAATATAGTTTCACGTGCTATACAGTAGGTCCTTGTATAGTCAGTATTTGAAAATAATAGAATATAGCCTTTAAAAATTATGAATTGCTATGTTGTACACCTGAAACTTATACTGTACATCAATTATGCCTCAATAAATATTGATATTATTTGAATATATATAATACCCATATAGAAACAAATATATCTCTATAGATATATAGATATTGTGCTGGGGATTTCAATAACCAGCAAGCAAGACATGATCCCTGCCTATACAAACTTTAGGATTGAGTGAAGATAAACAATAAAAGGAGCAATTATAATAAAATGCAAAAACTGCTATTGCATGAACATTATAGGATAATATTACAAAATTGTTTTTCATTAAACAAAACCATCCCTTACAGAACATGTCATTCTTTCTCTTTTTCCTTCCTTCCTTCCCTCGCTCCCTCTCCCTATTCCATTTTTTAGTTTAGAGGAGTAAGCATATGACCATCTGAGAAATTCAACACTCACTCAAGATTCTATTGTTTAAGGCATCTGAAATAGAACAATTATTGATTTCAAATGTCTACCTATTTAATAGCTTCTTACCTCGATTCAAAGCTATTAAATTTTGGTTACAAAAAATATTCATCTACCTGCTTAAATCACAGGTAGTATGACAAACAGTCGAACGCTGCAAACTATTTGTAACAAAGTGAAATGGAGTAAACTTTATAGACTTAATTGCTAAATCCAAGTTAATGTAATTCTAACAGTAAAACGTGTCAATAAAACTGCTAAATGTTATTAACATATTCAGTAGCCTCTTGTGACACAAGCTCCTGTCATTTTCTATTTTCCTTTTCATTATGAGTATGAGGAGAAAAATAAAAGTCTCTTTAAATGTTTTTTCCAAGTCTGGAAAAAACCAGGGAAAACAATAACCCGTTGTTCAAAAGGGGTACATGAAGTGAGGGAGACGTGTAGAAATGCTTTATTAGTACAGTAAGTGTTTGCTAGAAAGAATGAGTCACTCCCATCTGGGTGGAAGCAAAGAGGAAAGAGGACGCAGAGTGGCATGAAGGCCCCACGAGTCTGGTTTCAGTAACACGCACCCAGGCGAGAGACAGGAACAAGCTATGTTCATATGGTCCTGTTAGTAAAGAGGTAAACTGGGCTACAAAGATAAAAAACCGAGTAAAGCAGCTGAAAATCTTCAGCATCAAGGGGATTTTTTTCTCAGTGCTGTCAGACTTCAAAGCAACAGCAGGAAAAACTGGCCAATCCTTAAAGAAGTTTGTACAAAGATCCTCATGCTCTGAGAGTGAGGAAGCGGGCAAACTGAAGCCAGGTGAAAAAATTCACAATGACGATAAAAAATGACTGAGGAAGGTGTTAAGAGACATTTTTCTTCTTTAATTCTCGTGCTAAATGGCATTTCATTACCAGAAATTCACATTTAATTTGCTTCATGTTTATACTCCTGTCTTAATGATGAATATACATTATAGATAATGTTGAGATAATATGATTTCAACTCCTAATTCTTCTGTGATCACTCTAGAGAGAATACACAACTACTTATATACTTCAGATACATTTCGATGTCCAGGGGAGTTTATACAGAATTGAAGGCATAAGGTCTCTGGAGACAATAACCAATCTCAGTTTGCAATTTGCCACACTCAACTCTAGCTTAAACATAAACTCAACATGTTTTCACTTAATTCAGCTGGCCAGGTTTAGAAATTTTCTTCTATCTTTGCCTTTTCTTGAGAGAACAGAACTTCCCCCTTTTTTTTCATCCTGAGTTTACTTTGAATAACTTAAACTATTTATCCTTTTTCGGAAAATAAAAATAATACTTATAATTAATATTTGTGATAGAAATCACTCTGTTTTACAAGATTTACTCCAGAAATAGCACAACCAGATGGTGACTTGGAAGTATTACTAGTTTGAATAACATCATTGCTGTTCTAGAAATCTTAGGAGCCTCTTACTTTTAATATTGCACCTGCCCTTGGTAATTTTTTTTTAAAAGAATTCTCTGCAACACACAGTGAATAGACTGTAGAATAGAGTGACCACAAAGCAATGCATAAAGGGGCTGAGTATAAGTCAATAATAGCGGGTGTCAGACTGCAAGACTTGCCGTCTCCAGGGCCATCTGCCTCTCATCTCCCACTCATGGCTGTTATGTTGGAATGTCTAGTGAGACCTGACCTTCAAATTGTTTCAGAGAAGCCAGAGTTCTGGATTTTATGTAAAGCATACATAGTTTGAAGTGCTGACTGAAAGTTTTTAAATGCATCCAACAAGCAAAAGAGATCAGATCTAGATTCTCCTTTTAGTTTAAGATCTCTGTGGTTTCCAAGTATTTCTACATGTCAGTTAAATCATCTTCTCACCAGTTATGAGAAGGGTACTAGGTTAGCTGGGGAAAGAAAGAAAAGAGATGAGGAAGAGGCAGATGGACTGAAATAATAGGAGACATACAAATAAGCAAATGCAAGTCTTGAAGTAAAGAGCTGGTGTGGTAGAAATCAAGACTTGGGTTACCTGGCAGGGTTAAGGGTTGTGATCATATAGTAAAAGGGTAGTTTTTCATGCAGGTTTCCTGGAAAGGAATCAGAGACTTCTGAAAATTATGTGTTGTGTGCCAGCCTAGGAAGTTCATCCTTTAGTCTTGGAGATGGAATAAGGGAGGAAAATTGCTTGTTAAATTACCCCTGAAACTCAATGTCTTTCTTCCTTAGAAATGTGGAAGTTAAATTGTTATTAGGGCATCTGGGACTACATATAATCAACTTAGTACCTCATGTTTTTAATTTTCCTTTGGGATTTTTAAATACTTCTCCATGGAAGAGCAAGAGAATCTTGCCTTTTTTCCCCCCATGAATATAATTAAAAGAGACAGGCTTGCAAAGACCTACTGATGGGTCACACTGGGCCCTGCCAAAGTATAGGATCAGGATATGAACAAATCCTATTAATTATAGCAATCAATGATTCCTGCAGAGACTAAGGCTTACGATTAGAGGTTCTCAAATACTTTTGAGGCCACTGGAGAGACTGTAAAATAGAATCAAAGAGATCAGCACCCATTCAAACAAAGACTTGCTTGATATTGGGCAATTTCTAACTTTTTATGGATAGGCCAGGCCCCACTTGACAGTTCTGTGAAATTTAGTTCCACAGAATTTCATCAGGGCCTTTGATAGAATATCCATGTCCTTAATTACAAACATGTATTTCTTGTCTATTGCAAGGTTCCTCCTTAACTTCACAGATCTGTCAGTGGATCTGACAGAAAGAGGAAACTTGGATACCACACCTGGAATTAACAAAAGTGGCACATGAACGAACTAGCATATAAAGGGTGTTGTTGCTTTAAAGAGCTGCTGGAGTCATTTAGGTAATCATCTTCTGATGAATGCACTTGCTG